TGTTGGGGAAGGCGAGTGTGGGAAGCGACCAGGATCAGATGAGGTAAGACTTTAATGGATGCTAATTTTCTCTATTTGTTCTGCTTATCTTGTGCCAAGTTTCTTTCTGGAAGTGATGCTCCTGGTTGGAACTTCACCTGATACTGTTATTTATCTAGGGAGGGCCCAGCTGCAATTGCAGCAGAGAGGAGAACCGTATCATTGCACTCCTGGTGTCCTCCTACCACCCACTGGGCCAGTGCCAGCAACTCAGACCACAGTGGAAAGCTTCCCCTCCACTCCGCTTTGTTTCCTCTTCTCTGCAACACCATGTGACTGTACCCTTTGCTGATGACTTGTCTGGAATGAGTCCCTCCACCCCCTCTAGATATGTAACTAACTATAATTAGCAAGCTGCTTTCTCAAGTCAAGGGAACAACCACAGGCCAATGACACACAGGACCACACCGAAGTGAGCTATGCTTACAGCCTTCCTTGCCATTTGGTTCTGCATTTGTCATCTGGCACTGCCTGGTAACTGTCTCTACTGAACAGTGCAGTTTTCTCCTTGCTCTTTCAAATGGAGCAGGAGTGTGGCACTACTGAAGTAGCTGATTCTTCCTGAGGGGTGTATTCTCAGCAGACATCCTGGGAAATCTTTTTTTCTGACATTTTTTCCTGTATCGGCTGGAGTCTAGCAATTAGCTGCCCTAATAAGAGCATAGGGTAGTTCTAAATGTGGTAGTCTTAAAGGGTTTTTCTCAAAGTCCCTTTGTGTGGGGAACAGTGTATTGTGTCTGCACAGCAAAATGGGTTACATAAATTCCTGCATGGTATTCACTATAGGGAGACCCTGCAGGATGCCGAAAAGCTTCATGTTCTCAGAAGGCAGTGGCTGTTTGGAAGTGTAATTCTGCCACAGGACTTGATGGTTTTGGTTTTCTTCTGTCCCATCTCCAGGATATGGAAAGTCGTGCAAAAAAGCGGCTACGGACAGTGGCAAAATCTTCTATTCTGTCCCAGCCAGAAAGCAAAAGTGTTTGTCCAACAAAGAAGAAGGTGACTTTTGATCCAAACCTATCGCAGTGTGATGAAGAAGGAACCATCAAGACTGTAGAGCCAGTGACCAAAGGCATATCCCTCAAAGAAACAGCAGACATCGTTGTCAAATATTTGACCCCGTTCTACAAGGGTGGCAAATTTGCTTCCAAGGTAGGGCACAGCTCAAGACTCTCTAGCAGAAGGAGACTGCATCTCCCTAGGGATCTGGGGCTCTAAGAAGGGGAAGATGATCTGGATACCACATTTCATTTCCAAGTCACATCTTGGTATGTGCTGTTTTAGTGACTAGGTGCAGCAACTTACCTCTCCCGAGAAAGGTGTGATTTAGAGTGTTGTCATGTTGATTCCACACTTGTTCGTGATTGTTCATGTTTTCACACTAAACTGTGGCACACTTCTAAGAACTCCCACCTGTGGAGCGGCAACAGATCAGGTTCAGTTTTGGTGTAGTTTACTTGATGCTGCAAGTCAGCATATGTGTGCGTGTGCTTCTCCAGCACTGCAGGGCGTTTGCAGGTTTGCAACACTCCTGTAGTCTAAGTCTATGAATGGTCTGTGCTAGAGCCAGCCTGTGCTAAGGGCAAGAAAAACATGGAAACAGTCTGGCAAGGTAACCGATGTCTGCTTTCTGCTCTTTATCTTCCCCAATTCTGCAGGATCTGTTTAAGGGCTTTGCTCGGCACCTGTCTCACTTACTGGCTGAAGAGCAGAACCCTGCCTCCAAGGCTGGTGAGTTGGCAGCTGGGGAGAGCACCAAGAATCTTGGGTTCTTTGATGCTAAATGGGTTGATGTCTTTAGCGGGGGCAGATGTCTTAAGTATCATCTCAAAGGTCGTGTTTCCTCTCTTGCAGTGAAGGAGGAAGCACAGAGACTCATCAAGGAGTTTTTCAAAACAAGAGTCAGGTGTGAGAGCGAAACAGACTGGCAGGAGCTGCAGAGCTCAGAGAGCTGATCCTTGCATCATGTTGGCTGTCTTCCTTCCTCCAGCAGTGGGACCAGGGGATCTTGAAGAACTCAGCCGTGGAGGGTTTCATGAAACTGCAGAAGTGAGCCTAATCCTTTCCCACTGCATTTTGCTCACTTCTGTTCTTAGTGACATGCCCTTCCAGGAACCACGTTATGTGAGCTTACGGAGAGTTTCTCCAATAACCGGGGTGCTGAAGCCCTCTAGTACCTCTTGCCAAGAGGTGTGGAGTCTATGTCTGCTGTGTAGGTTGGGGTCTGCTGCCTCAACTGTTCTGCAGTGTCCAACCTCTGCTCCCTGCAGCAGTCTGGGAAGGGCTCAGACTTTCAGGGCTCAGACTTTCCAGCTGGGACTCTGCTTTGGGATGGCATCTTGCTTCCTAGATGGCTCCTCTCCTTGCTTCCCCCATCTCTTAGTTCTTATTTCAGTGTTACCAGTAGAAGCCTTATGCTACAAGTTCACATGCTTTGCTCAGGGCTGCCAATGATGAACTTGATGGCTGAGTTCCTGGATGGAAAGTTTTCCCTTGAAGGGCAGGAGGGGAGCCTTTTGTTTTTACCATGCAGGCAATGCCTACTTTCTGAAGGTGGAGAAACTTGGATTCTTTTTCTTTTAATCTTAACTTTTTTTTAACTTTGTCTAGTTCTGCCTGCCCTTTAACTTAAACAGTGATGCTTTTTCAGTATTAACCTCTCCAATAGTAGCATTGAGGTTGCCAACACTTTTCCAGCATTTGCTTGTAACCCCTAAAGCCATATTTGCTCCCTGTGCCTCGCCCACAGTCTGCAATACATAGGACAATGCTGCCGTTACAACTGGTTAAAGTACTGCTGTGGCCCTCAAATTGACACTGTGGTGCCTCTGCTGCTATATTTATATAAGGACCTGAACCTTAGGGTATCAGTGGGCTTGAAATAACCTGATTCCCTGGCACAAGTCCTTTCTGTTGGGTTTTTGTTGGATTCTGCATTTGCTCCATGCCTATGGAGGCTGGTGGCCTCAGGCACTACTGCTGCTAGAGACTCTGCAGCCTGAGAGGCCATCAAACAGGCTTTTGGATCATTGTACTCAACAGATGCATTATTTTTTTTTTAATGTATTGAAGGGTACATGCAGAACTGACAATAAAACAATGTTATAGCTGCTGTGGACTCTTCCTGAAAGTTTTTCCTTACTAATTAACCTGGTCTAAGATACGTTAAGACTCCATTGCTGTGAACATAGACATGAAAGCTCATTTCTTATCTGAACAGACAGCTAATAAATACAAGCCTGGGATGGGATGGATGGGAAGCATGTGCCAGCAGACACCTTCCAGGTGTCTCCAGCGAGAACCAGAAGAACCTGGATATGTTTAACTCAAAAGTCATTTTCATCTTCAGCTTGCTCTGCTCACTGGAGGACAAAAGGCTTTACAAGAAGCCTTTTACACAATAGAAGTATTTTTCAGCTGTTGCCTGCTGGCTTCTATTTTACCTTCCCCTTAGAAATCCTATTTCATCAGCTGCTTAAGTGGGGTTACTATCTCTCCAGAGTTCAGTGCCTATAGAGTTCAGCTGCTGCCTGGGTGATCTTCTCAGAAATGTATTGTTTATCTTGTAAATCGGGGGGCTCCGGAAAGGGCTGGTTAAGGCATGGGGTTGTGTGACAAAGTGCTTTATCACAATGTGGGGCACTTCTAACCAGATGAGTTGTGCTTCTATGTAAAGGCAGCAAAAGCTCAGAGAAAAAGAAGGGGAATAAGGATAAGTTAATCTTCAGATATCTTCTCTATTCCTTTCTTTCACGTTGCTGTGGTGCTTTACCAAGCCTTGCAGTAGCACTGTGGAAGGGGGAGAGTGAAACATGCTTCAGCGAAGACCTGAGAGGCCCCATTGAGCAGTACTTGAAGGGAAGTTCCTGATGGGGAAGATGCTGTAGTTGCTCACCAGCAAGAAGGTAGCTGTGCAGCACGGCTTGCATTGAGCACCCTCAGATCTATCCCATTCCCAGCCAACAGTGACAACCTTTTCCTCAAGCTTTGCCAGTTACCTGCAGGCCAGTCTTCCCGTGTTAGATGTAAAGCAGTGTCTGTCATGTCACAGCTTCAAAATATCTCTGTGTGATTATTTTATTGCAATCTCCTAAAGTGCAGATACTTTTCAGTTCAGTAGGATAGCTGTAGCAATAAAAATAAATTAAGCATTTTTGTACAACCCAGGACACTCTCCTCTAATATAATACAAGTTCCATTTGAATATGCTTTCCCCGTGGGCACGGAGCCATCATTTAAGTAGAACAGCTGCATGGACATGACTGACTTCTTTATAGTAGAGGGAAACATATGCATGTAATTATGTGAGTACGAAATTAATTAACAACAAACTTCCTTACCATTGCAGCTCAATCTGTGCCCCGGCATATGTGTCAATTGTATCTTAACACTGATCTGCTTTGCAATTAAGATGGTTTCTACACCTCCTGCTTCACAAATCCCACTATCGGGCCTCTTGCATATCAGTACCGAGAAAAAGCTGGCCTATGGAAAACTCCAGCAGCCAGTGCAGTCATTTCATAGCCTCAGCTGTGCATTGCGATACACGAATCTCTAGCAAGCATCAGTCTTTGCTCATGTTAATTAATTCAAAAAAAAAAAAAAGAAAACAATGGTCCCAGGCTACATAGCTTGAAGGCAATTGCTTGCATCTGTTCCGCTGCTCTGTGTTGGAACAGGCTATGAAAAAGCAACCGTGTGGAAAGGCTGTCTTGTGGTTTGTTTAGCCACTGCATGCATCGCTTCAAGGAAGAGTACTTGGGGACTGAATGGCAGGTCACGAGGGGTGAGATTATGGTCCAGTCCATCAACAAACACTGTGGTGGCAGTCTTAGAAAGCAGCTGTCTGAGGTCATGGCTGTCTTTTCGAAGAGTCCTTTTCAGAAGACAGGGCAGGGAGCACTGAACAAGCTCAAAGAAAGGAAAACTGCTGTTTTGCTTGGTCGTTCTCCTCTTAGGCTCTAGTGGTGCCGCTCTGTTTTTTCTAGGATGACAACAATCGTGTGATACATTTCTTTAGCCTGTGAAAAGACAAATCAGTATCAAGTCATTCTCTGCCCCAGAAATGGCCGCTTCTCATAATTAAATAGTCCCATAAATCACTTTCCATAATTAAATATCAGGTACGCGTTGGGACAAAGCTGCACTTTGGGGACTGGGAAACGCAGTGCCCCCATCCACCTCAGACAGAAGAGAGCAGTAGTGCTGTCTCTTAGCAGAAGCTCAGCTGTGCAGTGGAGAGCAATTTCTGAATTGCCAGGAGGAAGCTATACGTCCAGGCTGATCTCACCTGTGACAGTTCAAGCCACATCGTCTTGGGGCTGACAGCTGAGCCATAGTTCAGTTCTATGCCAGGAAGCCCACCATCAGAGATAGGCCGCAGGGTCCGCATGTTCTGCAGCTCCTTCAATGGAATGACACAGGAGACTGCCTGTGTAAGGAGAAAAGCCACAAAACACTCTCTGGTTCAGTCCTTACAAATAAAACCATCGGATTCTCCCCCAGGTGAATCCCTCTTAAGGTGGATTCACCTTAAGAGCCTATTGAAAGCTGAGACAAGGACTGTGGCACAGGGCAGTGTGTACAGAATATAGGGCAGGCTCCTGCTGACAGCATGTCTCTAGAACTCCTGCAAGATTGGGAGGAACAGGAATGTGACCTAGACTTAGTTTTACTGTGAAACATGCTTGTTAGCATGATCACTGGACTTACTTACAAAAAAGCACATGGCAGTGCTAACTGTTCTACCACTCCGGTCATCTGCTTTGGGCTAGGGCTGTTAGAGTGGCTGTGATGCAGGTATATACAGTCTCTTCCTGCACAAGTTCTTCTAAGAGTCAAAGTTACCATCTGACAGACATCAGGGCTTTGACTCTACGGAGGAATTGTCTGGCATACCTGGGTGATGCCATCCACCACAATGATCTCCTCTTTATTCACGCCAAAGAAACAGGGCACAGAAATTGTGCCATCGCTGACTCTCTCTACAACGTAGGTGTTGTAGCCAAAGAATGGCAATTTCATCACATGCTCTGTAAGAAAGCAAAAGGTGGCTTTCAGGCAGCAGCTTCCAGCCAGCAATCTAGTGCACCAACCTAAGGTAGTCAAAAGCTGCAAGTGTTCCCAAGCTTTTCTACATTAAAAAGTAAGATTGACAACAACTCCTTTCCTCCCAGGCTGCTGATACTCAATTCTCAGCAGCCTGAATGGATGTCCTCTTCTTTTCCGACCAGAAAACAGACATGCAGCCAGAATATCAATTAAAACATAACTTGTACAGAGCTCTGAAAATATACTGCAGGCTTCTGTGAAAGAGGTGGAACTTCGATCAATGATCATGGTAGATGACCATGCTTCGGAACAAGTGCCAATTTGCAGGGGGAGGCTGTCAGGGAGTCATGGCCCATTCCAGGCTCCAAGGATCCTTGCCAGTCTCATGAACTGTCCCAAAAGCACATTCAGAGCAGCTTCCATCATGCTTAGGCCAGATGACTCAAGCAGATCTGGATGTCTCCTCACCTATGAACTGGATTTTTGCATCCATTGGCTGGAGGGCCTGCCTGGTTCTCAGTAGCATGCCAACGTGGCTCTGCAGAGCTTGGGGACTGATGGAGGACTGCAAGCTCTTTGGTGTGTACTCCTTCAGCTCTTCCCTGTGCCAACAAGCAGATAATAATTCACCCCCTGCCCAGCTAAAATCGAAAGATCAACCAGAGGGATTAAGAGGAAGGTGGGGATGTACCAACAATTTTCAGTTGCATGGCTGGGGACAAGGGTGGAGGGAGAGGGGAAGAGCACAACGGGTTGTGTCTGAGTTGGATAATGGGGAGGGAAACATCAGAGACAACGAGACCACCATTTTCCACACAGAAGGTGGCTGTGCACCACTGACTAGTGCACTGAAAGAAATCTCTCCTTTCTGGAGACAACAGGAACTCTTCAGGCAAGGAATATAGCCTGGACGTAGAGCCACAGGGTGTTTTTTTCCCAGGCAGTCTCAGCTGAAAAACACCTTACTCTAAGCCTGCCTTGCTCCTATGCCTCCAAAGCACTACACAGAGCAGAGTTCCCTATGCCCAGCAGGGTTATGCCATTACCCCCTGCAGCTGGTGGTGTGAGAAGATCTGACGGAGATGTTACCTCCACTCTAAGTGTGTAAGGACACAGGGAGGAAGGAGTGTGAAAATACAGTTCAGGGCTGCAGGACAAAAGCTTTCCAGTATCCAGAGATGTTTTCATTCCCATTAGTCAACTCACTACAGATTTCAAGTGCCCAGGGCTGAAAACTTTGGCACTTGTGAGAAAGAACAAAGGAGCATTCATCCCAACTATAAGCTCATGCACTTCCTTCTTGGTATTACAAACACGGCAGTCAAAAGAACTGTCCACGGCACGCTCATGAGCCTCAGCTCAAGAGGAGTCACAAAAGGAAATGTGGCTCAGAGACAGTCAGCATTAAGAGCGTGAACAGGAGGTAAACTTTCTTGATTACGGACAGGAGTCGGTCACTAAGTAGTGACATTAATTAGTAGCTATTGTTCTCCAGAACTGTCCATTCCTAAATTATCCAGAGAGAACTTTCAGGCACTCACCCCTGTGGTACCAACAGCCATTAGAGATAGAGACCCACCCTGAGAAAAACATACCTGGAAGGAGCAGAGTTCTGCTGCTCTATTTTGGCACAGTGCTGGAGCATTGCCAAAACGCCCACCTGCATCTTCATTTCTTCACTATAGCTCAACAGTATCCTCCCATTCAAGTAATCCCACAGCACCTGAGAGACAGCACAGCAAAGAGGCCTTTGTTAAACTTTCCAGAAGGTACAGGCAGGTGTGGGCAGCACCAGCCTGCAGAGACCCACATCTTGCCTTGCTGATAACACATCCAGCTCAGGCTGATAACACAAAAGCAAAGGCTTTCTGGGCTCAGGAAGAGTGTGCAGGACTGCACAAACCATGTCTGGAACAGTACAGCTCATAGGCTAGGGCTACAGGCACACTGCCTTCCTTGCATTCATAGTTTCAGTTATTAGTCGTTCCCAGAAACAGCATGCAAAGCTGATCAGCCAAAGCCCTCACGCTTCTTCAGCCCCCGTGGGATATTCCCATTGCCGTGCCCACTGAGTCTGGCCCTGCTAGGGAGCCCTTGCTAGGGAGGTTCCTGGTGCGCATTGCCCTTGTTACTTACCTGTCCATAATGAACATCAGTATAAATTTTGTTCTCAAAGTGCAGAGGTGTCCTCCAGATAAGCCTGCGTACAGTCACAGTGACCAACTTGTCCTCCAGCAGGTAATCATGAAGATACTCCTCCGATCTTATCGGCCTCACCATTGTATCTGTATGTTTATGCAGAGAGAGGGTCATCACTCTTTGGACTGAGACAGTGGGCTGAGCTCCATGGCCTGGGACAGGAGCCTTCCTTCTCACCTCTACTTCACCCTGCCCTTACGACTGCCAGCATCAACCATTCCAAAGGAACACCGACCCACGCAGACACACACACCTCTTTCAGGAACAAGCAACACAGCCCCTGAGAATGCACAATCCTTAACCTTAGTAATAGGGAAACTGCTGAAGAGGAACCTCCCCTGAGCCAGCCAAGGGTGGGGGAACGATTCGAAACAGTAGCCACAGTAGTCCCTGCTGGAGAAACTGCTTTAAGAAAGAACCTAGGTGCTAGTCTTTACTTGCCGAGATTATTGCTGTCATTCCTTATGGCAAAAAGAACAAATTCCTCTATCTCTTCCGGTTCGCCTGCCCCCATCTGCTCACAGATCTCCTGCAAGAGCTCCTTGCCCACCTGAAGCGAGGAAAGAAGCAAATAAGGATCAGGTGTCGCTCAGAGTCCAGATCAATGAAGAAATTCAAAGCAGAAAACTCACAGTGAATGTTTTAATTCTGGTGAGGTATTCCACACCTCCAGGCATCAGTATCGTTAGCCGGCGGGCACCACGCCCCTTCTGCAAAGGACAGTCTTTAGGCAGCAAGACATGCAGGGTCCCATCAGCCCCACAATTCTTCCTCCCTCTTCCTTCCTCCTCATCTCCACCTCCCACTACTTGCCCATAGTACCTGCCTCTTTCCTGCCCACATCCCTGGCTACTCCATGGCATTGCACATCCCAGTTCTCTTAGAGACACATGCCTCATTTCCTCTCTCTTGGAACACTGATTACCCCCGTAACACTGCACATGGCACCTCCTGACAAGCCTCTGCCCTTCCTCTCTTCCCAGCATCCCCACTTCTCTGCCCCTCAATACCAGCAATGCCTCTAGCTCCACAGGGAAAGGAAGGTGGCGACGGCCCCCATACATGAAATTTTTCCGCAGGTTGCTCTGACAGATCTTGGCTATATCTGCAAGAAAAGGAAAAAGCTTCATGTGTTGAGCCAAACAGAGGACTTAGCATTGTCTCCTATAGTGTTGGGTCATCCTGGTTGTGTTGAACTTAATCCAGGGCCACTGCTAGGAGAGGAAAGAGACTTGACCTCAACTCCCACTCTGCCAGGACACATCCAAATCATGAGGGGCCAGCTCCAGACAGTGTCCAGGGCAGTAGAAGTACACAGGAATGACAAGGATGGGAGAACTAGAACCCTCTTCTCCGGCAGGATTCCAACCCAAATACCTCACAGCTGATGACTGGAAGATGACAGTCCGCCTTTCCCCCAAGGTCTAGCTGTCAAACTAGGCCTAAGCTAAGCCTCAGAGAGACATACAATTCCAACTTGCCTGGGTGAAGATGCAATGGGAAGTTACCTCTGCAAACAGAAAGGCGGGAGATTTCCCCATTAGGATTTTCCCCACCTGGATCCTGTCTTCTTTCTTGGACCACTGAGCTTTAGTAACAAGGGGGCAGCTGTTTATTTTACAGGACACAGAAACAGTCATACCATGGTGGGTGCTGGATGGATCACCGCTGGCTAGCTGCAGAAACTTGGTGACATAGGGCATCAGGATATTAGAAGGGAGGAAGTACCCAGTTAGCAGGTTTAGGAGCAACCAACCACGCAGCACGCTCTCCCTGCAGGACAGAAAGAACTCTGAGCACCTTGTAACAAGACAATTCCTGCTCCAAGCAGCTCAAAATGAACCTCTGTCCTTCTGAATACCTATAGCAGGTGGCAGAAAATGAGGTGGCGACCCTTGGTTAGAGGTTTCTTGTGCTGAGGAAGGGATTGATTCAGTTATTCTAACAGCAAACAAAGAAAGAGAACAGTCAAAGCCACTCTGATGCCACTGCTGCCATATCGCAGGGCAACGTGGAGTCAAGCCAGTCCTAACTGCTGTACCAATTCCCCAGGGCTGCAAAGAGGAAACCAGGGCTCTGAGCAGCACCACTACCGGGAGCTACCAGGAATGTTTACCAGTGCCCAGATATATCAGCAGCCAGAGATACAAGGATAAACATCCATTGAAGTGAAAAAGCCAAACCCAGTGACTGGCTAAATTCCATGAGTGCTCAGCAAAAACCCCTGCAATTGAGCAGCTAGGGACAGTACATCATTAGGGGGCAGCCTCGCTCCTGGCCCTGCTGTCTATGCAGCAAGGCAAACGGGTCCCCCTCCAGCTGTGCATGCGCAGGAGCTGACAGTGCCGGTACTCACTGGTTAAGGTTGTGGGTGACCTGTTTGATGACCTGGCAGTAGACCTCATCGTGCAAAGTCTCCTTCTCCTTGCACAGCTGCATTCAGAGAAGAGAAGACAGCATCACAGAAGGGACAAGAGCATCAGAGAGGCCCCAGGTCACCTCTGTGCCCTTCTTCTCCCAGCTCCAGTGCTCTGCCAATATGGCTTAAAGTTTGGGCTTTGCAACCTCTAGTCTCTATCACTATCTAGGCACAAAGGAGGAGGGGCAAGTGGTGGTCCCATCCAGATAGTGATATCCAGGAAAATTATTTACATGCAACCCCTCCCCTCCATGTTTTTCAATCAGCCTCTCTGTTTCTGCTCCCTTTCTCATGTAGGAGGTTGCATTATGGCTCTCCCTGCTCTCTCCTTTCCCAGCAAGGTCTTGGCCCTTCATTCCCATTGATGCTTCAGCGCTTTGCCCAAGGGAAGGTCACAAACCTGAAGGATTTCATAGATGCATTCAACCTCATTCTGGTTCTTGAGTTTTGCTTGATCTCCCATGAACCGCATCACAGCTGCAAAGCAAAGGCTACCATTTAGATATAAGCAGAGGTGATCTAGAAAATCTACTCTAAGCAGAGTAGACTAGAAAATGGTCTGAAAGCTTTTCTGCTACACAGGGTATTATGAGGCTTGCATCAGACGTGTAGTCAGTGGGGCATCAGTCCAGGCAGTGTGTGTTCTTGGGCACTTTGCACTTGAGGCAAAGTGTATTTTGCTGGACACTTTCAGCATGGACACAGGTGGTTATGAACTGCAGAAATGCCTTAGGAGGGGCCTTCCTCTCACAGTTTTCATTCCCCACTCTGGGCCCCATGATGCCACCAAGGCTCCAGCCTCTGCAGTGTTGTGTCCCAGGGAGGTACTTACTCTTAAAGTTTTTTGTAGCAAGCTCATTTAGTTCATTATCAGAGTAACGGAGCAAAGACTCCTGGATTGGGACCTGCAGGGCCAGAATACAACCGTAAGCTGGGGAGGTAGATTTGTGAAGCGTGCAACACAGCTCTGTGCAAAGACATAAGCTCCCAGTACATTGCAGGCAGCACTGAGAAGTAGGAGGCACCTCCACTTCTTCAGAGATTGCAGCCAAGGATCTGCCCTCTGCGCTTTTGCCATGTAAGAACAATGCTAGAGGCAATGCTGGAGCATGGAATTCTGCCATGGAAAAAGACTGGGCTCACCTTGGTGTGCTGGACAAGGCTAGCTGCACTCTTCTTTTCAGAAGATGTCCCCTTCAGTCCCTGCCTAGGCAGAGGAGAAAGAACATACAATCTGAGGGATATCCCCAGAAATGGCTTGGTGTGGGTCAGACTACACAGGTCCTGTGCATGCCTGTTCAGGAAGGACCACAGCCTACTCACATGGACTGAGCCTCTCGGAAGTAGGCTGTGGCGAAGTCCATCATGGTGTAGTGGTCACCAGCCGGGACTAACATGGTGCTGTTGGGTTCTGATGTCAGGCTGGGAACAGAACTCTGCAGGGACAGGCACCAAACCCACCCTGAAAAGTCAGCTGAGGAACTGCGGTGTCTGTTCTCAGCTGCCAGACCTGGGAAGGCCTCATCTGTGTGTGGTCCCTCCCCCTCCCACTATGATAGTATTTGAGTGTCTCCATCTGTAAGGATTAAGCAGTTATCTTCTTCCCTCTAGCCTTGGAGGTCGGACACTACCAGGGCCATGGATGCACCCTGGCAGCTCCCACAGAACCCAGCCATGTCACCTAGCAGTTCCCCAAGGACAACTCACGTCCTTGCTGGTGTTCCTGCTCTCCAGGGAAGCTTTCATGCTCTTCCGCAGCCCTTCACGTCTGTCCATGCTGGTGCTGAGGTAATCAGGGGCTGCAGCCAATTGCACCAAGCTGGTGGGGAAAATACCACAGCGGCCACCAGTGGAGCCGAACTGCCAGCCTGCAGAAACAGGGGAGAAAGAGTCAGGAACCATGGCAGCTACGAAGACAAATGAGCAGTGAGGCATCCTACTGGCAAAGGAGAGCATCAGACTGACCGTTCTTTCCTGCATCCTAAGATAACAACCCCGATAACTATTGCAGCTGGAACAAGGTGGGTTGCGCTCAGAGTGTGGCAGAGCTGAAGGCTGACTATGCCAGCCCTTAACAGTCTGCTTTCCTCTGGTTTACCCGACAGCAGCATGTACAGCTTTGGTGCACCATGGGTCCAGCAGGCGCTTGAACCCATTCCCCACCTTTCCTGCCAATATCAACAAACTCCCTCACCTGGCTCCACGCCTTGCATGGGCAGTAACTTGATGAGGTCACCCTTCTCAAAGCTAAGGAGGCTCTTGTCATCCGCAATGTAGCTGCGCAGAGCAACGACGTAGTTGGTATCCTGGGGAAAAAGTGATGGGGAGGTCAAATCTGGTCCCCAGAATGTCAGGGACTCAGATCATATCATCCCATGGAGCCTCTCAGGTCCATGTGGGAAACCACCTTCATTCCCTGTTGCACTACAGCCATTCCCTCACCTGCCTCAGCTCCTGGAGGAAGAGTTCCACCATGGCCTTGATGCACAGAGCCTTTGGAGAGCGCAGGAAGAGCTGCTCTGTCTTCAGAGAGAACTCCAGGGCATTGCTGCCTTTCACTTCCACTGACAGCACATCTGCAAAGCTGAGAACACAGCCAGCACGCTCAGGCTCCTTCTGCCAGAGCTAGGGATGCAGATCATGGGGATAGGAGCTCGTTCCAAGGGCTGAGAATGGAGACAGGCCTCAGCACACTCCTGAGGGTGGCCTTTCACCAGCACTGTATTACAACAGCAATAGCACCATAGGCTGCTCATGGCTTTCACCATACCACTCTGAGGACCTCCTTTCTGATGACATACATGGAACTAACTCATACTACTACACTCACGGTGAGCGAAGCACAAGGTAGGAAGGAAAGGTAAAGGCCAGACTTATTACAAGGAGGGTCAGTGAGTCACAACTAGCCTAGGACAATCCTAGAGAGCACAGGACAACCAGACAATTTTCAGCTCACCTGTTCAGTCTGCCTCCTACACTGAAAGCATCCCGCAAGTGAAAAATTATCATCCTGCAGCAACCTGGGACCTTTTGCTCACCTGTAGCTGCGAAGAATCTTCAGGTGCTCAGGATTATAGCCAGCTGCTTTCACCACCTTCAGCAGCCGCATGCCCCGGTGAGAAACACCCAGGATCTGGACATCGCTTCCATTTTCACCCTGTAAGGGAAGTGCAGCAGAGAGCATCAAAGACCCCATCCCACCTGGACAGGATGAAGCAGGAGAAGAAGATGCTACCACATGTACCATGAAGGAGGCCCTGGGCTGACAGAGGTGTCAAAAGGAGCCAGGTACAGAAGGCGCAGAAGAATGAGTGATGTGTGGCCAGGCAGGGAGACAGAAAGGGATCCCAGGTGAACTAGAGCCACACAGCTAATGCAAGCCCAGGGTCTGGTGAGAAGATTAAGACTCACGTGAACTGGGAAAAGGCGGGAGAAATAGTTAGCCCAGTTATCTCGAGCAGCCAGTACAATCCTCTTCTTTATCCCGTCCTCCTGAATGGACTGGACATCATTGCCAACCTGGAATTCCACTAGCAGGGGTAGAAAGCAGATACTTTCTCAGTAAGACAAAGATGGCCAAGTCTTTCACTGCCCAAGGTCTTATTCCCATCAGTCCTCCCCAGTGATTACAGCGCAGCAAATGACATGCAGAGGTGAAAGGATACCATGTTACTTGTCCACACCAGTCTACTACTAGTTTCTCTCCCCCTCTCCATGAAGCTTTGACAAGAAGACAGACGGATTTTGAGACAACTCAAAACCTCATCTTTGGGCCTCAGTTTCCTCTCCCCACAATAAACATATCAGAACTAAGATTTTCTGGCTCAGAGAAATTTCAGGGGCATTTTCTGGCCATTTGGAATAAACAAACATTCCTATACCGCAGTATGCAGCACACACACAAATGCGCTTTCTTTCTGCAGAGACAAACATTTCTCCTCTGCCCTAAGTTCTGCCTGACAGGGCTTGGAGGCTGGTTTCTAATTTCAAACTACTAGCTGGGATGGGCACAGGGAGAAAGGGCTGTAATTACTCAGCAGGTCTTTCATCTTGCGCTTCTCCTCCCTGGAGATCCGAAGGCAGGAATCAGAGAAGGTGTCACGCATGATCTGCGGAGGAAGGAAACAGAGAGGCTTCCATTGAAAAGGCCACATTTGAGTGTTTTGGAGCATCTGAGTCTGCTAAACAGATTGAGTTTCAGAGAGGACTGAGCAGGGGCTTGACTGGATGGACCTGGAGAAGAGACTAACACTGCTAGGGATACAGAAGTGAAGGCAACTTATGCAATGTAATTATGGAGTGTTTTGTCCCCAAACAGAGAGACTTGAGTCATACACCAGTACATACCTGTTCACACAGCAAGTTCAGACAATAAGGGTGACTGAAATTTTCTTTGGGGTAAAACACCTGCAAGAGGAGGATAAAAACAATAGTAACATTACAGATATTTACAGATGTTGCTGAAATAGCTCCCATGGGATGTTTTGTAATCCATATGCCCTAATGCCAGACAAGAGTGAGTCCATCTCCAAGCACAGGCAGGAAAGTGACACTGTGAATGTAAACAGAAGGACAAGGAGTGAAGGACCAAAAGTAAAGTAGCGAGACCATTGGATGAACCCTGATCTGTTCAGTGTATTCTCCGATATTTGATTTTAAACACATTTGTACTATTTGTCCAGCTCTGGGGCCCTCAACATAAGAAGGACATAGACCTGCTGGAGTGGGTCCAGAGGAGGCCATGAAGATGATCAGAGGGCTGGAGCATCTCTGCTATGAGGACAGGCTGAGAGACTTGGAGTTGTTCAGCCTGGAGAAGAGAAGGCCTTATAGTCCCTTCCAGTATTTAAAGGGGGCCTACAGGAAAGTTGGGGAGGGACTCTTGGTCAGGGACCGTAGTGATGGGATGAGGGGAATGGCTTCAAACTGAAAGAGGGGAGATTTAGATTCGATATTAAGAAGAAATTGTTTACTGGGAGGGTGGTGAGGCACCGGCCCAGGTTGCCCAGAGAAGCTGTGGATGCCCCGGTCTTGTTGGAAGGTGCCCCTGCCCATGGCAGGGGATTGGAACTAGCTAATCTTTAAGGTCCCTTCCAATCCAAACCGTTCTATGATTTTAATAGGAAGGCACCAGGTAACAACAAAGTTACTCTATTTGTAGATTTCTCACTGCTTTACAGAGGAGGGAAAGGACAGGTAGGGAAACTGAGACACCAGAGTCAGTAAGGCAGAGTAGGACTCAGATCCCCTCTGAGATGATCCTCTGCCTCCGACTCCTGTGTCATGTGACCTCTTCCCAGAACTGTCTTTGTGCTCTTATATCACACTATGTGCCTATGACAAAAAAAGATTTTAACCAAATATGGGATCAGTCCCCTTCCCTCCATAGCCAGCCCTCAGTTAATGAACTGTACCTCTTTGCGCAGAAAGATTTTCCAGGCAGGATTGACATAGGAAAAGCTGACACTCTCAGCAAGCCTGTACAGCTGGGTCTTGATACCATCATCATCTGCTACTGTTACAGTAGAGTCTGTGTGAGGAGAAAGAGCAGTCAAGATGGGCTTTGCTGACTACAGGGTCACTTTCTCACCTACCAAACACCTACCAAGAGAAAGGGGACAGTGTCATATGTCTGACTGAAGATTACTGTCAAGAACCTTCTTGAAGGTAAGTGATCAGCTAATATGAATGTATGCACAAAACAGTCATCATGTGAGTACCAGAATTTCTGATAGCATTTAGACTTGCTGTATTAGCCACAAAGTTCAGTGCTCATCATAGAAACACTCCAGAGACAGGGAGAACACAGCATTCCAGGCAAAATACTGCCCCTGTGCTTAAGCTTGAAGACACAGTTTCACTTTATGTCATTATAAAAAGGCTGCTAAAGGTTTCAAAAGGACATAAAAGTTCTCCCCTGAGCTTGGAGGCTGCAAGGTTTTGGTACAAGGCACCCAGTACTTGCACTGTTTTTTCTCTCTGCAGGAGATCTGTTAAAGACAGGCTCGGTCTGAAGACAAGCATTCAAAGGCATTGCTTTACAAGGTAGGAATATATTTCAGCACTCTCAGCTTTCAAAACTTCAGAATTCATAGACAATCAATACATGTAGAAGACCCCACAGTTCAGCTGTTTCTATATTCCTATTCAAAAACTTGTAGGTATTTTTCAGGTTAATCCAGTTACTTCAATTTACTTTCACAGGAGTTCCTAAAGATCCATTTTTTTAAAAGGGAGGAGGAGTGAAACAGGGACATTCTTTTATATCAGGGAAACCGATGCGGAATGGAGTCCTGCAGCAATGTGCTTGACTGACTGTTCCTTGCATGTTATAAAATGTGATGCTGATGAGGGTTTTAAACAGCTTGAAATACGTTGGTACACGTATCCAAAATAGCAGCAAAGTATAAAATGAATTATGGCTACAGACTCTCACTGCAATTTAGAGGCAAAACCTGGGACTGAATAACACTTCCAAACTCCTGCTGAGAAGCATTAGCTATGCCATTTTCCAGACACTGCTTACGTGGCTAGTGTCCAAGGTCTCCCAGGCTCTCATTCTCTCTCTTAGAAACATTCCCTCACTCCTCAGCCTGTCTCTAAGGACCCTCCAGAGGCTCTAGAAGGTAAAATATCTGGCTTCCCATTCCTCCCTGGTCTAAAGTCCATCCATTGAACTGCAGCTTTGATAAAGTAATTATGCTTCAGGTAAGTAATAAAACGTATTGTGTACTGGACCTTGATAAAGCTGTAGCCCAAAGGTCCTTTTTGTTTTAGCTGCATTTTTCAGAGAAACCCAGCCCCTCCTTCATCATTTGTGCCTGACATCCTGCACTACGCTGGGAAGAAATGGAGTAGTTAGAGCTGGGTAGTGCCAAGCTGAGTGCTGGGCCAGACTGCACTATAGTGACTGTCTGGTTTCACATAGCCCACTCAGTGTTTGGCCAGCTGGCTGATGACAGAACATGTGCTATGACTCTCACGGGTCACTGGGCTGATTCTGACCCCATCCCCTCCCCGCCCACTTCCAAATCCCACTTGGGTGAAGTCAATACTTACCCTTCCCTGTGGATTCCTGCCCGCCTTCATTCCCAGGCAGGAGAGGCGAAGGCAATGGTGGGGGAGGAGGGGGAGCAGGAGGGGCATTGGAATCTGGTGGAGTACTCTGCTCACTGAAGATGGACAGAAGAGGCAACTGCTTCTCCTTGATAGAGCTGGAAGCTGAGCCGGGCTTGGGCTTGGGCTTGGTAGGTGGAGGTGTTTTCTCTTGTGGCAGGGCGTTGGGCTGCAAGAAAGCAAAACCATTTGACCCAGTCATTCTCTATATTACTGTGCTCTGTCCTGACACTGCTGTTATAAATCATTCCTAGGGCAGCAGTCCAACCCTAGAAGCAAGATCTGTGTGAACAGGGATACCAGGACCTTTAAACCAGCACATGATCTACAAACAGATGAAGATCAAGCAAACCCAAGTGCAGAGAACCAAGTATTTGAGATTGAAGCCTCCAGTTGGGAAGGGGAAAAAAGACATTAATGGGCCAAGACCTCGGTGCCAAATGTGGGGAACATGAGTTGCTTGCTTCCAGATCAGCCTTAAACATACCACAATAGAGCTTGGTGCTCCAGAGCCTTTTCTCCAGGACCTCAAGTGACTTTACAGACTGGAACCCAGTCTAGTATGGGCAGCACCACGGTATGAGCTCACAGCTATCTAGTAACCCAACAAGAAATCACCTGGCTGCTACAGCACTACCAGGTAGCTCCCAGACTGTTGGAGATTGGATCTGCAGGTCTTCTCTGATAAGCTTTTAGGTGACCAGAGAGCAAAGAACTCACTGATTTGGGAGTTGTGAGGTTCATCATTCCCAGCTTGGCCAGAGCCTCATTTTTGGGGTCGTTCTTCTTCATAAATGGCTTGGACACTCTCCTGCAAGGAAATTGGGAACACAGTTACAGGGGCTGCAGAGGGGTTCTGGCCACAGTGGCCAGAACTGCCACCATGTGGCTGTGATGGGATATAGTCCCGCTCATCTTCTTCCTGCCCACCTGAGTGGATCCCAGTCTCTCACCTGACAGGCTCGATAGGCTGAGGCTCAGGGGCTGGCCTGCTCTGGTACATTTTGATGATGTTGCGGATCTCCCGGCTGGGTGCAGGTCGTGACTCAGGGCCTGAATGCTTCACTACAGGCGGCTCCTTCCTTGCTTTTGGTGTCTGCTTTTTTGGCTCTGGCTCAGGAGGTGGCAAAGGGGGAGCAGGAGCTATTGAGGACAATAGCTTTAACCAAGATACCAGCAACAGTATAGGAGAAATCCCTTTATCTCATTTGAAGCTCCCTCTCTTTCACCACTAGGCTTACTGGCCATGGTCTTCCACTGCCTCACTTTGGGATCCCACTTCCCAAAGCTCAGGCCTTTCTCTCTCCCCTCTGCTGTCAAGATGCAAACTCCCAGAAGAGTCAGATCCTTTCCTCCTCTGGCTATATCCTGGCCCAATGCTCCTGTAAAGTTCCTGCTTGTCAGCCTGCCTGGGTCTCCACTGCATATCAGCTTACCTTCCTCTAGTTTAGGGCTGGGCTTCTCTTCTTCCCTCTTCTCTGTCTCCTCTTCTTTCTCCTCCTCCTGCTTTGGCTGGGTATTTGCTGGAGGGGTCCAGGGTTTGGAAGGAGGCCTGACTTTCTTCACTCGGATGTGTTGCTGTCCTGCATAGAAAAGGGAACCTGAGCTAGTTAAACCCACAGCCAAAATCTAGCATTAATGGCATGGTTCCCACCTTTCCAACAGTCAGCAGAAGCCTACACTTTCTAGAGGCAAAGGAGGGTGTGGCAGTCGCAAGCCCAAAGATTTCTAGAAAAATGGCAACACAACACCTCACAGTCTGAATTGTAGCCAGCTGAGCAGGCACCCAAAACTCCTGCTACACACAGCACCAGCAAGTCCTGCAGTGATTAGCGGGGTTCCAGACAGGGAGACAAGAACACCTTGTTATGCCAGGGAGGCTGCAAAACAAGGTGTTATGATGAGTGGAATTCCCAAAGTGGTAGATGCTTACCCATCTTCTGAAAATATTCTCTTTTCTGCTGGAAAGTTTCACGAGGATAGTCATCATCTTCACTGTCAGAGAACTGGTCTTCTGTGTAGTCATAAACCTGCAAGCAGTTCAGAACATGGTTAGTTAGCACTAGCCAGCAGATACCATAGTGCCCTTAAGTTCAGAGGTGATCGTCCCTCGCCAAGTTCTGATATAGAACTTCTCCCCATCTGAGAGTGTCTCAAGAGATGAGTCTCTGACTCAAGAAGTCATCAAGCAAGTCCAGAGAAGAAGGACTACGTTAGAGGCGCGAGACAGCTTGCTAGAAGATAAAGAATTCAGAGATGAATTTTCCTATGGTAAAATTCAGATCAGCTGGGAATTAATTGGCCAACACTGTAGCCAAACGCCCATAGAGCTAATGCCACCAAGGTTTGATCCTGTGTCTTAAAGATTCAGCAAGCAGAGTTTGAAAGGCCTCTGTATCATAGGTAAGCATAGGTCTCTGCTCTCCTCTCTGCCAAACCTCTGCCACACTGGAAGGGAAGTAGAGAAAATGCAAATCATGAAATTCAAAACAAATTCACCACCAGTATTTGTTTCTCATACCGGTTCTTCTGCCTTAGCTGGTGGTTCTGGAGCCTTTGGTAGTGGTGCAGCATTCTGGCTGCTCGGAGGCTTCTTGGGTTTTGGGGAAGTGGCTGGGACTGGAGCTGGGGCTGGGGCTGGAGCCGGGGCTTGAGCCGGGGCTTGGGCTCGTGGTGAACTTGAGACTCTTGGCCTTGAGTTCTCACGAGACTGTTGCCACTGCTGCTGCTGTTGCTGGGAAATGTTCATGGCTTGAAGGGTCACCTGCTGGGCCTGGAGGAAGGAATTGCAAGGTCCATGAGCTCTAAGCTACACAAAAACACCAGCTGTCAGGCCTGCTGTCCCATTCTTTCACTAGTAATCACAGAAATTCTACATAGTCCACTGCAAATTTCCCAATGTTATGGACAAGGCATGGCCAGGGAGTCTGCTTTCACCTGGCCAAGTATGCAGAGCTCCTAACAACACCCCAGAGACTCAGCTACCAGTGAGTTAGCCTAGGACCTCCATGTGCTCACAAGGCTTTGTACAGAAAGCAGAATACTCAGATATGCATCTGTAGCAAATCCCAGCTTAAAAACACGTGGGAATTACAGCTGAGGCTTCTTGGGGCCTGCTCTTGTCCCTGCTACTCACTTATCTATGGTGCCTCAGTGTCCCCACATACACAAAGGGAAAAAAAGGGGATTCCCTGTTTTGCAGTTTTATATAATCCCAACTCCACACAGCTAACCCACAGCACAGAGCATTACAGAGCAGGCCGAAGGCAGAAGGGGAGCATGGCTAACCTCTTCACAGCACAGACACTTGTGTGTTTTTCTTCCCCAGCTCCTACGCCCCTCCCAGCCAGTCGCTTCCACTCACCATGAGCATGGCTTGCTGGTTGATAAAGGCTTGCTGTTGTGCTGCTAACTGGTTGGGATCTACAGCTGGAACAACAGGCTGGGGCATAACCATGGCTGTGGAAAACACACGTCTGTAAACACTTACAGGCAATAGTTCCCCACAGTGCTTGAGGATCAGCCCAGAGCTGAGCGTTCACTGTGCACCTTGCCCAACATTCAAATACACAGGCTCCATTAGGACAGCCACCCTTCCATCCTCTTCCCCTGTATAGTTGCTGAGACACTCTTACTACCTGGCATAGGTGCAATCCCACCAGCTGCTGGCATCATAGGCATGGCTGCTGGCATCCCCATCATGGGCTGGTAAACTGGTGCTTGAGTCATTCCAGTGAAGCCTAGGGGCAAAAGGCCACAGGCATAGTGCTTTTGGAGAATCGCAGATCAGAAAGTCCTGATCAATCCCACAGAACACATCACACAGGCTGGGTACTCTCCACATGTGCCAACCACAGGGACATGTGAATGGTTTACCTCGTCACACACAGCAGGACACAGCAAAACTCAGGTGGAAAAAGGAAACTTATGGGAAATGTGTGGCCTGCCAGAATTTACAATAGCAGGATCCAGACCCTGCTTCTGCAGTGTAGCTTAGGACACCACCATCCTTCATGACTAAGCATATAAATAACTCCTGCCTATGTATGATTACAGAGAAGGGTTTCTCTTTGACAGTTGGGCAAAGATCTCCGGGACTGCCAGATCCATATTGATCTCTTTGCAGCAGGTAGCAAGGGTGAATGAACAACGAGTCCTGCCTGGGTAGCATTGTGTATCATGTGAAAGAACTGTGGGGAGAAAGAAATTCCTCTGCTCCCAGCAGTCAAGTCCCACATGAGGCCACAAAATAGAAATCCCACTGAGGGGAAAGCCAGCAGAGCAAGGGGCATGGAGATCAGTTGCAGTTAGGAATGAGTCAGCACACAGCACTACTGAATCTAGCACACAGGTCTACTGAATCATAAAGTCCTGGCCAGTGAGAATGGCCCAGGGATGTTGTGGAGGGATCTTCACATCCCTCACTGATGCAAGTAGCCACATGAGTCACAAAGTGGCCTCAGGCCAGTGATCTGTAATAGGTCTTGTCATGCCCCAGAGCCTCTGCTATTGTAAAGGCTATTGCCAAAAACAGTCCCAGACTCAGTAATGACCTGAACAGAACATTCCCCACCTTTCTGAAATAGCTGGGTGTGTTCCTACACATGCAGATTTCTCAGTGCCGTTAATATATTGGTGTTTGACACCACTCTACTGAAAATACCTGAGCCTTAGCTCCACAGAAATGAGGAAAAGTAAAGAAACCAAACACACAAACCATAACCTCTACCAGGTTCAGACTTACTAACCCAAGGAATAGCTAGAGATGATGGGAAGGTCTGTAAGGAAGCAATAAGAAAGATTAAAACCCTCCTCTGAGAAAGGCAGCAACTATTTTGTGAAAGCACAAGGTGAATAGAAGGGGGATACTGGACTTACAAGTATTGTGTGAAAAGGGGGATACTGGACTTACAAGTATTGGCCTAGGGAAGAGGTGGCCTGGGTCAGAAGCAAGCTACCTGTTGCCTTGACCCCAAGACCAAGTCAAGAGAGAAATTAAAAGGAGAACATAGGTGGTACCCTTACCTAACATCTTCCCAAAAGCATCTGTCTCCCAGCACCTGGGAGTGAGGGGTACAACTTCTGATGACCTACACTAAAGACCAATGCTCTTCATGAATCAGTTGAGCCTATGCAATCATTTGCTTTTAAGGGACTCCCTGACTTGAGTTCACTGAAGCTTATGTAGCTCCACAGGTGTTCCCAGCTGTCCCCAGACCCTTACAAACCTGTAGAAGGAAAGATTCCTCTCTGTGTGGGTCCAATCTTCCCACCTCCTTTCATGCGTCCAGTCAGGCTCTCCCTGTTCTCCATATCCTGCATGAAGAAAAAACAGAGTTATCTGAGCTCAGAGAGATAGACTTCACAGGGGAAGAGCCATCGAAAGGCATATCTGAGCTGAGCAGAGGAAGAGTGAATAAGCAGAGGCACGCTTGAGGTAGTCACAGGGATAGTACAGCTGCAGAGAGAAAGTAAGAGGGAACATCAAGGGACTTACTGGTACTCTGGAGCCTTGATGCAGCACAGTGCTGAAGAGATCATCCACATAGTGATCCAAGCCTACAGGCATCCTCAGGTCATCTCTGAATCTTGGATCTAAGAGCAGAAAGAAGTCTGGTGACAAGGCAGGTAAGGAACATTCCCCTGTCTCCAGTCCCTATTGGACAGTCATGTTTTGGAGTGGAGCCCCTTCCTTGCTCTACATCAAGAAGAATCACCCATCATCCACTCCGCTCTGATTTCCTGCCTGGGGCCCATGTGGCCCTTCCCAGTGCCATCCACAGTCCTGGGCAAGAGCTTACCTGGATGGAGATTGTTGAATTCTGGAGGCAGGCTAGGTGGTGGGAAGCTAGGGGCCCGGATGCCTGGAGCAGGAGGGATCCTGTTGAAGAGGAAAACGAGATGAGGACAGCACAGAGTGCTGAGAGAAAGACAAGCCACTGGGTGACACGGCCACAAGTGGTGGGGCAGGAGGATTGGGTGACTTACGAATCCAGGTCAGAGTTCTGGAGGAAGCTTCTGTCCCTTTCAGGAGCGATGGGGTACACAGGTGAGGACTGCGAGGGGCTGCTGAGGTTACTAGCATCCTCTATCTCTCCAATGAGGTCTAGCACAAAGTCACAGCCCAGCAGGTCCTGCCATGTGTCACCAGTAAACATAGAAACAGACCACCCTCGAGACTTCTTATCACAGCCCCTGGTAACGGGGAAAGGAAGGAAAGAAAAGGTGTCCACGTAGGCAGGGAAAAGGGAGAGAAAGGAAAACATTGCATTCAGTTTCTTCTTGCCTTGCCTATCCTTAAGTCCTTAAGGTTTAGCCTGTGAATCAACTATTAAGTGCCCAGGCTCAGGAAAAAACTAGAATCACTCAAGATTTATCCTTTTTTTTTCTTTCTTTCTTTTCTCTGAAGCTGCTCTGACAGATCACAAGTGATTCCTCTGTTCCTAAAGAGGCCAACAGTTTATGCACACAGATGGAAATGCACAAGTACAGGAGTAAGAAGAGCACACAAGCCGGAGTGGGTGAGGAGTGGCTATTCCACATCTGATCCTCTAGCCTGCAGCCCTGGCCAGTCTGAACCTTAGAACTAGTGACAGCCTCTTTCATACCCCCAGACCTTCTCCCATCTGGCAGTACCTTGCACTCAGAAGCCAGCTTGCATACTGCTCCCCAGTCATCCAGGACTCCACCTCAGCTGAGAACTTCTCCTCTAGCACAGAAAAGAAAGTCAGTACACACAGCGCCCCCGGCAGGATCCAAAGCAACACCTAAGCTCCACAGGACACAGGCAGAACCCAGCTGGAAAGCCTTACACAGTCCTGAGCAGGGGCCACAGGAGGACTGAAAGCACATGGAGGGCTCCACATGAACACATTCACATCCCAAATAACTGTTTGATGGCACAGGTTGGCATTTCCAACCTGATGGCTGAAAACCCTCACAGTTTCCTGGTTTGCTCAGGCCACCATTCCACTCACTAAGCAGCCTGAGTAGCATGTCTCATCAGGCCCAGACTTAGGGATTTTTGGATCTAAATTCAGATGCTTGTATCCCCCATGGTTGTACCAGCCAAAAGCAACTGGTGTTCTGATCCCTCTTTACTAAGCTGAGCGAAGTATTTTCTGAATGCTGATTTCTGCACTGGAAAAGTTCTTAGGGACTAAAAGATAGCAGAAGGGCAGAAATACAAGTTACCGTTAAAGGTATGAACATCCAGCACCATCTTCCCTCTCCTCTGGTTTGCAGTCCACTCCAGCTGAGTGGGAGGGTAGGCCCGAGAAGATGTAGAGTCTATCTCTGTGTACCGTGCTGCTGTCAAGATCTTGCGCTGGCAAACAGCATTGTAGCCCTCCATGCCATGATCTGACACAAATCTAGGAAAAGGCAACTGCATTTAGCACACTGATCATCTCTCTTAACCTTAATGAAAGTGTAGCTATGTCTTTTCTCCTCCTTACTTCAGCAACGGCTTCTCCAGTGCTGGTGAAGGGGCAAAGCAGCTCAGCAAAGTTGCCATCAGGACCCAAGCTCGCTGGCTGTGCTCCATGTCTGGGTTTTTCCATGTCTGGGCAACGACCTGACTGAAGATTTCATTGCGCAGAGCCACATTATTCAAACCTCTTCCAGCAATGTAGTTGCCCAGAAGTACCTCCTGCCAGCCACGGAGACTTTTGTCACCAATGAACCGCAAAATCTAGAAGCATCCAGGGGAAAAAAAGAGAGAGCTCTAGCTGTAATTCTCTGTCCCAAACTGTGTTGTAAGGTGACAACCTGGGTTGGAGACACCAGGATGTTTGTCAGCCCAAGAGTAGCCAACACTCAGATCAGAATCTATTCTCAGATTTTGTGCGCCACCTAAGTTCTGGGGAATTTGGGAGGCAGTGTTCATAGAGATTGGACCCTGACTAAAAGTCAGGATGACTTCAGTCTCTTAGTTATGCCTCTGACTCAGAATTTGTTCTTGGGCAAAATGCTTCCCCCTCTTTGGGCAGAGCTCAGATAGACAAGCATGTTACCTTACGCTATTTGTTACTGTGTCTGAGCCCACAGGTTGCCCAGCAGTAAAAATATGTAAAAGAAATGGATGCTTAGCTGATCTTCGTGAAAAGCTGAGAGCGCCAGACATGAGGAAACACTGTATAACGACTGAATGTTGAAAAGACTTTGGTGTAGTTAATATTATACCAAGTAGTATGAGATGTGGTATCTCAACCAACTCACTTAAGCAATGATTCAGCTTCTTGGATATGCATATCAACATTTCCAATGCTTTTGCAATTTGTATTTCTCACCCTTAGGTATAGAATAATTTCTTTCAGCCTCTACACTTCAATATGTCATTAGATCAAAATTTTTCTAGAATGTGCCATGGACAGCTTTGGAAAGAACATTTATGAGTGATGGCCTATTTTTTCTTAGAGAACAACACTTCTTAAAATGGTTAATGGCAGTTAGCATGTCAGAGATAAACTGAGAAAAACAGGAGATGATGGTGGTTTAGTTTAGTTCTCATGGAATTCTTTGTAGTAAATCCCTATGTATTACAGCCTTTGCCAAAGAAACAGCCTTTTTTATTATTAGCAATGGAGAAAAATTATCTTTGATCTTCAGGGAAAATAATAGCAGTCTGCTTAAAAGCAATCCTATTGACAGAATTTTATAGATGCTTATGCTCTTCTATAATTGAGATCATTAGGACAAAACAAGGGCCTGGGTTTAGGTATTACCTTTCCTAATTGGCTTATTTTAATTACATGTAATTCTCAAAAGGATTACTAGATTTACTTAGAAATTGTCTGGAGTTTCATTCTATTTTCAGAGAGCCAACATTACCATTTTTAAGAAGAAATATATGTTTCACATCTACAGAGATGAAATAACACCACCCCCCTCATGCAAACACTGCAGAATCAGGGTGTGGTTCCAAGTGTTGTTTTCTTGATGACAAAGTCCCTGCCTTTTTCTAGCCTTTATACAAGAGTTCACTGTCCCCTGTTGTGTACTGATGCAACTGTGTGCCTGAGATAAAATCAATGTATTTACTATAAAGCATGTAATGGAAGAAGTTTGGGTTAAACATTTTTTATGACTGACAGATAAGAATAAGTGCTTGAGAAGACAGATCTCCCTATATTGTTGTTGCTACTGAATCTGGAATATTGGGAAACTAAGGCTTAGCAGTCTAATTCCTATATGTCCTGCCAAATTCTGAGGCTACATAACCAGGCAATTCACTTTGATCCCATTGGTCTATGGCTGGTATGTGCCTCACCAAGAACACAGCAACACTAACGGGCTGTGTGTGATCTCTGCCAGACTGCTCCAGTGCCTAGAAGGAGCAATTTATTCTGCTTTCCTAACACACCATGTATTGTAAGAACAGTAGCCACTGACCAGCATCCTGTTGTATAACAGCATTAAAACATTGTCTTATGTCCACTTGTTCTTCAACAAGACCCTGGTCAAGAAAGACATCTCTTACCAGTTTGTTGATCTCAAGCGCACTCTCATGGTATTCAGCATCCAGATGGGTTAAGGGGTGCTGCAGAGGCTGACCAGGGGCAGGGAAATCTGTCCTCTACAAAGAAATGAAAGGACAGAAAAAGAGAGTTTGTTCCTGGTGTTACTAGAACTAGTGTGTTTCCCCAGTAGGGAAGCAATGACAAGATACAAAAAGAGTTCCCACCTGGAAGTGTGATTTAATGAAGGAGGAGAAAGGATAGCTGTTGATGGTGGGTGGGAGGGAAAGTTCATCTTTGACTTTGACTTCTGGAGGCAATGCCTCTGTTATCTGGTTGGCCTGTGCTCGGTATTGACCTGCAAGAAAAAGAGGTCTTGTGTTGCAGCAGTTGGAAAGGCAGCCAGAACACATCTGACCCACAGTGCAACACATGGCTAACATGCATCTAACCTTGCCTGAGCACCTGTACCAGCCCCCTGGCTCCAGGGACACCCAGTCCACCCCTGCTGCCTCAGATCCCCAAGCAGATACATCCTAACTTCCTTGAGACCACAAGGCCTAATGTCAGGAAAGAGCTTTTACAGCTCTGATCTTTCAGACTCATACCCTTGCATAGACTATCAGCGTACCAGCTGATAGTCCCTATAGGGGTATGCCATGAAGTATGAAGTATTTGGGAATCTAGCACGGTCTGCTCCAATTCGCAAGACTTCTGCCTAATTGTATCTTTTACTGTACTATACAGAGGGCCAAAGATACAGCTGTCCTTTTCTTAGATGCTACACCAACATAAAGAGGCAAATCCTGCCTCAATCTATTTGCAACTTAAATGTATATATTGTACAAAGAGTTACAGTGGAAACCAAACTGCAGATAACTTAATGCTCAAGATCAGGTCAACAAAGTTCTTTCAGTTAGTGGTATTTCGGTGATTTGAAAACAAAACAAAAACTTTCCATCCCAAGCAAAATGTTTCCTTTAATGGTTACCTTGTTATATCCTTAAGTTGTTACATTGTATCTACCTACTTCTATTTTAAAATTAGTAAGTACTTTTGAAGAAGTAATTGAAGTAATTTTTAATGAAAACGCCAAAATATTTCTTTGAAAGTGCCAAAATTGTAGTTTTGACTTCTTCACCTTCAATTTCCTTAAAGATTTTCTGAGCAAAAAAAATGGGTTTAAGTTCTCACACCCCAGATACCCAGCTCTGCAAGACACCTGGGTTCATTACACAGTTTGCTGTCACATAGATTTGACCAAAAAGTTCTGCACCATCACTGTCATCAGTTCTATCACCACAGTTCAAAAGAAGAGCTGAAAAGGTAACAAAGATACTGGATTTTAATCAGGTGTTCTGCTCAGTGGCCCGAGTTGCTTTTCCACCCTTTCGTGTTGGGAAGTAGTATACATGACACCATTTGCCTTTATCATATTTACACTGCAATGACAATAAATCAAATACAACCCAGGTGACAGACAACGGGTAGAATAAGCATGTACTTAAACTGTTAGAAAATGAGGAAATAAACAGTAAAGTAAAATAGCGCAGGAAAGGGGGGGAAGGAGGGAGGATTTCTCACTTTCAGCTAACTGCAGGAGGGCAGCAAGCTCTGCAGGGATCTCCAGTAGTCCCACATCCTGTGGAGAGAGCGAGCAAATCAGTCACTGGGGTACCAGAAGTGAAACAACACATTAACCCTGAGTTGTTTTGTTGAGACTGGGTAAAATTGCCTTTGAAAAGGTGGCCAGAACAAGGATTGAGCATCTGAGCAAAACCAGTAATTTCTGCCTATGCAACATTCAGAAACTTTACAAACAGGGAAGTATCATATTAACACAGGTATATGGCATGGGTCAGCAAATGAGGAAAGGGTGAGTAATTCCTAAAAAAAATCAGCTGCCACAGGGGGAAGTGACAGGAAGGTTGACTTTCTTTGACTCATCTCTCATTACTAACAAGTTTGGCATATTGTACAGAAGACATTGCAGTTGAAGCGTAAAGGCCATTTCTTCCTCCTCTTTTTTCTGCCGTTTTTATTTTTCAGTATACAAGAGTGCTGCAGCATAAATAGAGACCCAATTCTAATCTTTGATGCAGGTCACTATTTTCTAGATTCCTAAGGAAGCTCAGATGTGTACCTGGGTAATTCAGATAGCAATCTGTCCAATAAGCTTTGATTTTTCACTTGTTTGTACCTTGCATGATGCAAGGTACGAAGTAAATAGGCCAATGCAACACAGTGTATCAGCATCAGTGTCTGTGTATAACGTAGTTCAGGGTATTTCAGACAGGACTACTTAGATTAAGACACTATGAAACCAAACCAAAGGCACAAAGCCTGAACTTTTGCATTTTGGTTTTTTGTTTGGTTTTTTTGGTTTTTTTTTTTGGTTTTTTTTTTTTTTAAGATCTTCATAGTAAATCCTCTACTCACCAACACACAGTTCTGACATCTCTCTCCACATAAACTCTCAGCAATGCTTAAAGATAGATTCGCAGCTTTTTTGATGAGTTTGATTTGGCTCATAATAAGATACTTGACTTTAAATCTAGCTTTTCAACAGCATGTTCAGGAACTGGACTCCAAAATTCCATAGTCCTGAATCCACACCTGAGGAAGCAGGTGACAGTGCAAGAGCACCCAGTGCTAAGTATTCCTGTTGTTGTTACTGACAAATCTGTGTGAAATTGTGGACTACGTCAATTCAGATTTCCTTGCTACACACATCATAACAAACGTATGCCCATTCTATACAAATAATGACATTATTTAGCAGTGTTACTTATAGCAGTTGATACAGGTTAAACACCCCATAGACTATGCAGTTAACTTGTCATGAGGACTTTAATACCTCCCTTCCTCTACATTATCTTCCGTTAATATATTTGTACAGAACTGCTTCATTCCTGATTTTCACTACAGCACTCAAAAATAGTCTTTCTCCCAGCTCCAAAGAACAGGCCCAGCGCTGTGAACTCATACAGTACTTTGCCTCAGAACCACTTTATAATGCCTGACTATACCCAGAGACGGGGAAACACTGAACTAATGAGATAGTTATATATTAGAAGGCTCTTCATACCAGGCTAAACTGCATCCTTGCTGCTAGGTTTCCAGCATACACATGGGCTCTGTACACTCTCCAGACGTTTTGCTGTTCCCCAGCAAACCTGGGCTGAGGAGGCATAGGGGAGCGGGAATACCCTGAGAACCTGGCTTGTTTTATCCCAGACTCTCCCAGACTGTTCAACAACTTACCATTCCTTGGTTGGGACTGTTCTCTGTGTCACCGCTGGCCAGGGACCAACTCCTTTGTTTCCTTTCCTCTAACTCTTTCTGTTAGGAGATGAAAAGAGGATAGGGAGTAGGAAAAGATGTATATGAGGTCCCTTCTGTCTACTTCTGGGGGCAGACTCTGCAGATAGGCAGGAGCTCGTGTCCTGCTCCAGCAGATGAAATGAAAGAACAGCTGCAGAGCCTTCTTGGGACTAAACAATGTATTGAGAAGGTGTTGCCCAGGCAAAGCCCTTAGCTTTGCTGAAACCACCAACTGCCCTGCACAACATAATTCAACACCAAGAGCCTTCACCATCTGCCCAGCATCCCTGCCACATCTTTCCTCCCTCGCCTGCCATTTGATGTGTCTCAGGACAAAAGCACACAGAAGCTGTCAGCAATACTCACCTGCCTCCTCCAGCATCAAAGAACATGGTAACGCAGCCTGAACATAGACTGACAAACTTGTCCATGGAGAGGGACCCCTTTAGAGGGGGTGGCAGGGATAAGAAAAGCCAAACTCCCCTGCAGCTCTGCCCTTTCTCATCCATTCTATCATCCCCCAGCCTCACCACTCACCTGACTCCTATGCCAAGATGGAAAAGGAGGGTCTCTGTCTCTCCCTCTCTCTCTCTCTCCTGCTTGTCTATGTTGCAGAATGGTGTGACTAGATGGGAGGTTATGAGGGTTGGGCTGAGAAAGACAGTAGGCACGCTGAAGTCCAAAGGGCAGGGCTGTAGGGCGGAGGGAAAGGAGGAACTTTGCAGCAGGTGAACTTTGGGACATTTATTGTTGCCACTGCATGTACAGAGACCTCAGCAAGCAAACAGTGGAGAAACAGAAACAGATTCAAAAGGGCTGTGCTGTTGTGGTTACCTGGGAGAAAGAAAAGCTGGATCCTGTCCAAGTAGGAAGGGGCAGGAAAAGGAACAGAAACACACACTGTTCTGGATGTGGCATGGCAGAAGGAACCTCTGCAGTCTCTCAACAACACTGACCTTAATACTCCACCCCATCCATTGCTAGTCATGCCAGCAGCTGTACTGAGTCCCTCCCTCCCTTGTGAAGCTGACAGCTATAGGGATGTTAGTTGCTGCCCTAAGGGCAAGTGGTCTGGTTTTCTGTTTTCAATTTTCTTTTTAATAGCTTTTGCAAAATATATTCAACCCTTTTGACAGAACCATGGCTCTCTCCTGCACACAATTTTCCATCTTCTCAAACCACTGCCATCCCATTCTCACCCCAACTATGGGCCCAGCTGATTTCCAAAAAGCCAAGGACTTCAGCAGCCTGAGGTAGCTGTAAGTGGTCAGGGAAGGATCACTGTGGACTGAAAAAATCCTGCATTTCAGTCACCATCTGGGAAAACACCAGAAATTGAACTGGACAACAAGAGCAAGCTGAATGACTCCTTATAGTTTGAGAAGAACAGCAGCTTTGGAGGCCACAGGTGGAATGAGCTCACATTTTGTGTGGGGCAACCTAAAGAAGCTCACATACACGAATTGGCAGCATTTGTACTACCTTTGCCAATTCTGAACTTTGTCTAGGGAGAGAAGGCTCTGGTCTCTGTGTTTCCTTCTTTTGACATTTATGTCAGCCAGAGAGTGAAGAACACCTCATTAGATCATTTGCAAGAAACCTTCTAAAGCCATCTCTGTGCTGGCCTCACCCAGCCACCAGCTCTTTCAACCTAGGGCAGAAATAGCTCCTGCACAACACCTGGTCCTGAGAAGAGTGTTGTTACCTGGAAGTACTTTCTCCTTTGAATCAAAGGTCTGGAGATTAAAATCATGGTATTAAACTGCACCAAAGTCTTCTTCAGCCTCCTGTAACGCTTCCTAGTGGGATGTGAAAACAGAATAATTGCTAATGAGGGAAACAAAAAACCAAAATTTAGGCAGACAGCGGACTCAATTTGAGGGTATGGGCCACACAGAACAGTGATACAATCAGCCAGTAAGAATTTGGTCTTACTGTGTTAAGTGTGGTCCTCTCTTTCAGCCTTAGCACAGGCAAATCACTGTAACAGTTTTGACAGCAGCTGTAATTCCCATGGAAGCTCTGATCAATGCTGGGAACCAGGCTGGGAAGTCCCTCCCTCCACCATTCCAATAACAGGATTTCCCCCCGGCAGAGCAGGCCAGAAGCCAACATGAGGAGAGTCCTGGTCAGGCACATCCCCACCTTGCTGTCCCAGGCAAGGACAAAGGGCTGCACCTTGCCTGGCCTTTGGCTCCTGACCTTGCCTGATAACCTCGGAAGTGAGCTTGAATGATTGTGGCTTTCTCCTGGAGGACACGGAGGCGTCGGCGGCGAAGAAGGTATCGGAAGTTCCTTTGCAGGGTAACAATAGCCCAACTCTGCCTCTGGTTCCATCGTCTCTCCAGAAGCCGCCTGGCCTTCTCCTTCAGAAATACCTGGGCAAAGGGAACAGCTGCTAAGCCACAAGGAAAGCAGCCAGCTTCTCTAAGAGTTGATCAATAGTAAAAGCTGCTGGTTTATACCTTTGTAGCATTTAAGGCTCCCTGCTAAGGAAACCGCACTCCCTTAATTGGGATGGGCAGGAGGCACAGGAGCAGATGACAAAGATGGATGCATTTGTGGAGGACAGGGAATCAGGGAGTGAGGAAGGTTAGTAGGCAGGAAAGGCAGAAGCCCAGATCTCCATCAAGGAATGATGGGTAGACAAAGGAGCTGGCCGTGCTACTGCAACAGCCTGGAGCCATGTCTACTGTTTTTTTATCTGAAATACTAAAAATCCCTCCTTCATACTTGAAATAAGACACAAAGCAAAAGGAAGGTGAAGGGACGCAATGTTCTCCCTCCTTGGGCAGAGAGCCGAGCTGCTCTCTGTCCATTGACAGCCAGCGGATAGATGTCTGGGTCTCTGCGATTAAGATGGGTTCTCTATAGGTATCACCTTTGTTACTCCAATCTGATAGAGATCTGAGGGGTTTCCCACCACATGAGATAGCACGGCCGCGCAGCCTTCTCTCCCCTCCAAGCAGTTGTGCCTTTGCCCAGCCAGGAGGCCATACCTGGAAGATGAGATGTTGATATAACAGAAGCCAGGGCTGTAACTGGAATCCTCAGAGGAGAACAAATCACAATGTACTAACAAGTTCATCCAGGCTTTGAGTGGCTGGGGAATCCCAAGCCAGTACACCACTGTACCTGGCTAGGAAGTTCCGGAATGGAAGACGGACTGGGTATCCCTCCTTTCTAATGTGGATAGCCTCCAGTATCCCAGAATGTCGCAGCTGACAAGTGACATACTCCACATCAAATATGTTTGACAGCTGTGAAGGTAAGGCAGAAGCAAAATGTAAAACAAGAATAAATAAAAAAGGAAAGACGCAGAAGGTAGAGAGTTTAGGAAGGGTGTCCTTCTATTGTCCTCTCTTTGGGTTAGATCTTGCCATGGTCTATGGGCAATGGAACACAAACTCCAACACATCCTTTGGTGTCCAACTGACACTGGCTTCTTATCCTTCAGCATGTGCTCAGCTCACATGGCCACAGGGATGGGTGAGAGACAGAGAAAGGGAAAGAAAAGCTTCAAGCTATCAAATGAAGCAAAGAAGTCCAAACCCCAACTGTGAAAGGAGAGCTGCTGGAGAGGACTGAACTTCAAGGAACTGAAGGACTCCATAAGGAGCTCAGAGTGCTGCCCTACCTTTTTGGGATTAGGGGTGATACACCGAATGAAGAAGGCATGGCTCCTGTAAAACAGAAGGAAGAACCTTTGATCATCCTCCTTTCTGTGCTGACCTGGAACACTTCACACACTTCTGGGTGCAGTAATCAGCCCAGTGCAGGGATGGCACCATAAGAGTCTTTCACCTTCTCAGCTTGTCTGTGAGGTCCTGCAAAGACTGCTGGAATTTGGACACCAGTGTGAAGGCCTGAGGCTTGAGGCCTTTGCCCCGGGCCCCCAACTCCCTTTGCTGAGTATAGGCAGCTTTAGCCTTCTGGAAAATGTGAGACACCACCTGGAAAAACAAAGAAATGACCAAAGCTCTCTGAACTACATGGAAAGAACAATCTTCTACCTGAAACTGGGGGATCATTTTCCCTTGCCCCTAGCAGTGCCAGGAACCCAGCTGCATCCTCATGCTCTCTGTGCGGTTTATATATAAAATGCATTGACTGCAGGCAAAGATGACTTGCTCAATTCCCAAGTGTTCCTCAGTAGAACAAAACTCCTGACAGTTTCTCCAGGTTCTCCTGACACCTGACCAGGATCTTTCTGCTTCTCACATGAAAACAATGAGTGGCTCATTAGCTTTCTACAATAGAGACCTTCATCCTAAACCCCTACAGTACCTTGAGGTGGCTCTCAGAAAAGATATCAAGCACCTCTGGACGCAGCTGGTCACGGTTTTTATTCAGAAACTTGTGGACCTGCAGAGGCAAAGTCTGATTTAATCCACCATTCAGACTACCAGACAGGCAAACACCCCTCTTACACACACCTTGATTTGGGGCAGACAGCTGGAGAGGTGGAACAAGGGGAAGGCCCTAGAGAATGAAGCTTGCTGTTCCTGCTGCCACCAGGAGTGGAGCAGAAAATTACTTCTGATTTTAGGAGTCATTGCTGCTTTTCCCGTTCACATCACCCATCAGGTTTTGACCCCTCAAGTTCTTTCTTTGACCCCTCAAGTTCTTTCTTTGACCCCTCAGTTTCTTTCAGCAGCAACAGCTTTTCTGGGTTTCCAGGGCTTCGAGACAAGCAACATAGGCTGTTGTGTAGCTGAGGCCATTACCTATTTTGTTTCTGCCCAGAGGCAGCTTAGTTGCCTCTCCTAATACATATCTTCTCATTTCTGATAAACAGATGGTCTAGAGGCATGTGCAGTTACAAAGGACTCAGAGTTGGTCCATCAGGACATCCACAGCATGCTTCCAAGCTGGCCTATTGCTCCAACTGCTAAGAGCCCTGTGCAAGCTCACCTGATAGGTGACAGGGCCTGCATAGTGCTTCACAGTGAAGACTGGCAAAGGCAACTTGGGCTTGACATACCAAGGGCTGTTTCCATGATGATAATGACACTTCTGGAGGAAAGTGTGGTCAGTGGCCTGTAAAGGAAATGAAAAACATGTTTTCTTCTGCTTCAACATATCCAGCAGGCCAAAAAGCCACTGTTGAACCAAATGTAAAAACATCTAGTACTTGTGCGAACACAGTCCCTGTTCAATCTGTGTAACTGCCTCACCATAACCATCCTGCAAAGGGGATCACATAAGAGGATAAGAGGTGCCTACCTGAGTCAGTGAAGTCTGGTCATCCAGGATACGCAAGATGCCATGGGGTTTTGCAGCAATGAAATCAAGGCATGACTCACTGTATGTCTTGGGAATAGGAATCCAATCTAGCTGCTCTTTCCTATATTCCTCCTGCATGTTAAAGACCAACCAGTCAAATCCAGCCACGCAAACAAGAACAAGTAGAGGGATTTAACAGAAGGATTTGGGTTATTCATCAGGAAGTTAGTGTTTTACTACTCTTAGGAACTTGCCAAGAATTATGTGGTTTTGTCTTATGAAACTTCTTCTAAACCCACTAATGGTTTTCCTAATTTAAGAGTGCAAGGCTGCTAAGCAGAGTGACAAAGTAAACTGTAAAAGGTAACAAGTCTGATAAATACACTTTCATCTCCAGGACATGAGTGGTACATAAAATGCTACAATGAATCTACCAAACAGGTTTTAAAAGCACCAGCTGAGTTCTGAAGTCCTTGATCCTGACCAACTCACTTAAAATCCATAAAAGGAAGCAAGGCACTAACACACTCCCATTCCCTTAATTTACTACAGAATTAGTAAAAGTTATTAAATAGCCAGCTCTTTGGACTATGATTCCATGTGTATTGCTTAAGAGGCCCAGGTCTATTCAGCTTCCTGCTTCCCTGCTAAAGGATACTCTCCAGCTGAGGCTGCCTCAGCTCATTCCATATGTGGTGCCTTTCACCTGCTGGCATGAGTTTCATTTACCTCTTCCTGGGCAATGACAGTCTGGCTGAAAAAATGCTGGAGATGCTCATTGGCAAAGTTGATGCAGAGTTGCTCTAAGCTGTTCACACCCAGATCCTGAAAAGACAAGAAGGTATGATCACTTCCAACCCACAGCTCTCCCAGGAGGCTGCATCTTCTTGTGAATAATGCACAGCAACAGATGGTGCTGATCTGAGCTGCTGGTTCAGGCAGCTTGTTCTGATCAGTAAGTGTGAATGAACCTGAGAAATTCAAATCATCTTATGATTGGTTTGCAAGCTCCCAGCCTGGTTTATTGATGAGGCTGAACAGCAAGAGGCAAGACAAGTGGTGAAGGAGAACAAAGTAGAAGAGATCTACTCCTGGATGCACTCCCCTACCCTGTATAGGCTCCAGTGTTTTCAGCATTCATCAGAACACACAGATTTTAACAGGAATCCTAAATATAAAACTCACTGGCCTTGATGAGCACACATCACTCTAAGAGCCTGCTCTGCCTGTTTTTTACTTACTGCAAGTCTTGGAAGCACCCAGGAGCTCACTGGGGCAGAGGCATGGGTATATACTTGCCACAAGGGTAATGATTCCTGACGCAGAACTCTAGATGCTAATCTAACCTCAGTTTTAAAAAGCAATGCCTTGCAGGGCCTATGCTTACAAAGTTATCTGCAGTTCTCCTGTCCCTGATCTGATCCAAAGCCTAGCTGATCAGGAAGAATCTCTTCAGATTCTGGACTTACCCCTGTTCAGGCTGGGAATAACAGAAAAACAGGATATGCTGAAGCACATGAAAAGAAATTAATTGTAAAAGATAGTGTTAACATATTTCCAGCTTTATCCAAGTCTTCAGGAAGAAATGGGAACAGTTAGATTAAAACTACATTAAAAATGTTTTTCTTACTTCTGTTAGTAATAGCACCAGGTATAATTAAAATGTGATTCATTAAGAATTAGCTCATGCAGCTCACCTCATCAGTACAGCAAATTTAAACTAGGTATTTTTCTGGGTTTGGTCCATCAAAACAGGCTGATGAGTGATCTGGCTCCCCAGGCCACTGCTGAGCAGCAGAACACAGCCTGCAGGGAAAGGAATCTGAGCTGCTTTCTACAGGAACTAGTGTATAAGTGACGTTCTAAGAAACTTCTGGGGGGGTTGCAAAACCTTATTTAGGTGACAATCAAAAGAAGTTAAAATCCCCACGTGTCCTTCCAACATCACACATAACTTGGTTTCTAAACTCCAGTGCACTTGCTGAAAAGATAGTTTTGATTTGTATTTAATACAGCGTATGAAGTAATTCAATGGGCCAAGTTAGCTGAAAGTGCTGGCTTTGTTCTGATTTATAACCCAACAATTCCCCTTCTCCTTAGAATGACAGAACCAAAGCTGGCTATGTCCACTAGCTATGCAGCACCATACCGGTCAGTTTATGCAAAGGTATAAAACGTGCAAGGCTGACACAGTGCGAGCACCAGATAGGTTGTTAACTGCCTATGATTGTTAGGACTCCACTTACACACCAATACTACTTGCTATCCACCCAGTCCTATGTACCTTGGGATTCTACCTATGCCACACAGTCATGGAAGACTGTGGGCTCCTCCAGACAGCAACTCATAACGAGCGTCTACAGTAAAAGTGTTAAATCACACCCTGAAGGAGTACTCCTTTACTGCCTCTGAAAAAGAAAGTACCCCCCTGAACACAGACATCTACATTACATGGTAAAATTACTGTCTCCTTTCTGGAAAAAAGGAAAAAAAACAAACACCAAAACCAAAAACACACACACAAAAAAAACCCCAACCCCAAAACAAAACAAAAAAACCCAGACAAACCAAAACCAGAAGGAAAAACCACCCATCAGATACCTTCCTATTTTTGGCAGTGACTAAGGAGAATCAGCACATGCACTTGCAGCCCACACAATATCAAAAGAATAGGAAAAGCAACCTCAAAGCCATGTATGTCCACAATGCCCACAGCACAATCCGATTCCCAGGGAGCCAACCACTCATTGATTCTCAGCAGCAGCCACTCAAAGAGCAGATAATACAGAGTCTTGGCAATGGAGTCCCTGAGTAAGAGAGTGGAGTAAAACCAGTTACTGCAAAGACAGCACCCTTGGGTGCATCTCACCAACCCATTCAACAACAGCAGAAGTCACCTGGCATCGATGGCTCCTTCTACAGACAGAGGGGTGAAGATCCGATCATAAGACGTCACCTGGATACATAAAGAGATGGAATTTACTGTTATTATCTCACAAATACACATTTCTTTTTAAATCTGCAAGGAAGTCAGCCTGGTTAATAAATGATTTTTTTTCCTACATGGCCTGAGAATTTACCCAAGCATCAAAGGAAAAAGTAAAAATAGAATTTTGCTGCCACATTTCAGGGTGGGAGTCAGCTGGCCAAAGTGTTAAGCCTGAAGCCACCTCATGTCAGAAAAGAGCCCTCCTAGATGTGAGTTCTGCCATCTTTACAGACCTGCCTTGAGGGATTCAGCCCATCCCCATAACTGATCCAGTAGAGCAACCATTTTACTCCTCCTGTTACCTCCCAGATTTTGGACCTTCTAAGGTGGTGGCCCTTCTGCTGACAGAGCACTGGGCTAGGGCATTCCATGCTTCAGGATGAATGAGATATCACCAAAAATGTACTCACAGTGACACGGTGAGTGACAGCACTTTGCAGGAAATCTGCTGAGACACGCAACAAATTTGCCACAATCTGAATCTCAGTGTCACTGGCAATGGCTGCATGTTCATAGGATTCTTTCTAAATAATGGAGAACAGCAGATTCAATTACAGATGGGATATTAGGTTCCCCTAGTATTAATATTCTCGACAGTACCTCAGCCTGGGCAAAGCACCAGCATCTAGGTTCATTTTAGCTCCTCAAAGAGCCACCCAAGCTCTAATGACCTTCGTTTGCCTCCCATCTTCTGTCCCCGCATAATTCAGTCTAGACCCTAAACTCAAACCAACAGAATAGTCTTCAAAGGATATCATCTTCAGTCAAGAACAATGTCCCCTGTCCCATCACATGGGATAACCACAATGTTCAGCACAAATAGCCCATTCCCAGGCTGCCAAGGGTTAGTGTACCTCGTAGGAGGTAAAGCAGATATTCCCCAGTTGCAGAATGGCGGCCAGGACAGCCCAGGTGGAGGTCAGCTGATCTTCAGAGAGGTTGATTCCCTCAAGAGCTTGCACCAAGACCAGAAAGTCCTGACTGTCCTCCTTCCCCAGGATGTCACATGCTCTGCCCTGGGAGAATAGGGACAGATAATCGTGGTCAGCCCCTTTTGCCCCAGGCTGAAGCTGAGCTACCAGCAGCAATCTTCAGAGCAGCAGTTCAATGTTTTAAGGACTGGAAGAATCTGAAATACAAAGACACCGCTAGTGGGAGCTCAGCATTCATTACAGACCAGTCTTTTCTCTCTGGAGTTTTTGAGAGTAAGCTCTCTCTTGCTCACACGTGCTAAGTTTTTATTGTGGTTCCAATACAGGCAGCCCAGCTACCCCATGCCCACTGCTGGAGTGCAGCTTGAGAGAAGAAGGGATGCCAGAATCTACTCCCAAGTAAGTCATATCAGAGTTGCTACCCCAAATAGTACCAGAACCCAATGTATCAAAGGAAATGGGTTTCTGTGCCCCTGGAGAGCCATCCTGGGTTATAGTCTCACTCACCTCTGCCACAGCTTCACTACAGCATAGGCGTATCACTCCTATTCTTGTCATATTTTTCTCTACAAGAGGACAACTGCCTGTGACCCTAAAGTTCACAAAATCCTGGGTTAAGATGGTCTGTAGAACCTGTTTGTGTACAAGGGCATTCTTTAAAACAAGTTTCCAGCTGATTGCCAAATTCAGATGAGGACAAGAATGAGGTCCAGGCAGACCTTGGGCTTCCTTTTACCAAGACCCAAGACAGATTTTGCCTGTCTCTGCTAACTTCTTTATTCATGATCTGATCCTTTTCCCTTTTCTTCTCTGCAGCAGGCTGAGGCACTCCTATTAACTATCACCTTGAAGAGTTTAGTTTACAATACAGATTCTTTGCCAACTAGGAGTATCACCCCATTAAGGGATGTGCCCTTAATTGCCCTCCATCCTGGAAGAGAGTTGGGGGGAAGCATCTGTTGGTCCCATCTGGGGTGCGCCACGTCCTCAGTGGCCAGTTCAGCCTAAACCAGGACAGTCATTAATGGTACTTGTCTGTTCCTTGCCTGAAGGAAAGATGATAGCAATCATTCATCAAGAATTCCTCACATGACCACAGCTGCTGTAAAGGGTTTGCCCACCCGGGAAAGCTGACTCACACAGCCGAAACAGGAAAGATATCTTGCTATTGCTATGAATTCCTTGAGTATGGAAAACATTCTTAAACAAAAGAAACCATGCCCCAAGGTGATGGCTTGCCATAAGTCTGGCAAACAATTTTTGAGTTTAAACAGATTGTAATCAGTAGTACATTTCAGGGGTTTAAAATTTCCACCCAGTGACTCAGTCAATGAAGTGTTTTGCTGAAGGTAGAAAGAAATATCCTCCACTTTTTTCAGTCCCACAATAAATTGCAAATGCAAGAAAAGGCAATGAGAAAAGGATTTCTTCACCACGTGGTGGAGCCATAGGCCTACACAATGGCTCCTTTTTTAAAAGACTTTGGGAGCACAAGGGGCCTGAAAGATGAGAAAGAGATCACATAAGATACAAAGGTAGTCCTTCTTAGGTCAGGTGTGAGAAGGAGCAGAGCAGACTTTAGCACAATCCTGTGAGGGACACATCAGGAGGGAAGCAAAGTTATCAGCTGCCTCACTAACCAAACAGAAGTGATGGCTTGGCCATTTCACTCTATCAGCTGCTGCAAAGCATCCTCACCTTACTTACCTGATTCAGGTAAAAATAAGACTCTGCCTCTTGCAAGTACAGCTCCTCTTTCTGCTCCACAGGCAGCCCAGCCAGTAGCTCATAAAACACATGGTAGTTCCTCTCACCATGGGCCTGACAGGGACACAGTTCATAGAGTTGATTCATATCCAGTTCTAAAAACCTACAGAATACATGCTGCTATGAATAAACACTCAAAGAGCAAGACATTGAGGTCAGAAAGACGAGGCCAGAAGCCACCCAAGAACTACTGCTTTTGAAAAGTTTCCAGTGTTTCTCACTGACACCTTAAGAGCATTCCATTTGAGACCAATCCCTTTCACACAGCTCCGATATCTGACCTTTTCCACACTTCAGACATTAAGAAAAATTAGTTGAGGAAAGATTTAATTTCCAGTAATCCCCAATAAGTCACTTAATTCAACCTGTTTGAGGCAGAGCAACCTCCTATTTTATTGAAATAAAATAAGTGGTCACCTTGTGGTACACAGAGGGGACATATTTCTTGCTAACAGAAGAAATGTGAGGCAATTCTCCTACTTATTCTCATTCTTGTATTTAACAGTTAATTTAAGATTAAACATGAATAAAGGACAGAGGGACCCCTCTAGGTGGGAGGGCATCATTGGTCCTCACCTGATATACCACACGAGACTTCTCCAGCAGGTACTGGGAGATGGATGTTCCCACCACGACGCCACTAAGCATAAGACAACAACAGATCCTGTCAGAAGCTAGTGACAGGTTTTCTGTAGATCCATTTCTCTGAGGATTTAGAAGATGGAGTTGTTGCTGAGAAACAAGGGTATGACTTGACCAACTTGGTCTGAATTTTAAAGCTTTCCAGCACTGGTGGTTTGTATCAGACTATTTCAGGGAAAGCAGCTATGAAACATACAGACTCAAGTTTGGGTTCTGAACAGCTTCCAGAGTGCAAAGGAGCTTGAACTTGAATGATCCTCACAGGATACATCCTGAAAATAATCCAGGGAACATGCCATGCCTCTTCCCTTCAGCTGTAGCTGTTGCATTACCACTCCCCCATCGGACCTTACCCACCCATTTCATAGAATCATAGAATTGTCTAGGTTGGAAGAGACCCTTGGGATCATCGAGTCCAACCATCTACCCTACTCTATGAGATTTCATACGTCAGGCTGGTGACCCGTGGGGACAGGGACCACCTTTTTGTTTTGAAATTTAATTGCGTCTTGCACAAAGTGATCCTGGACTAAAACCACGATGTTCAAGTACTACAGCAATAGTGGGCCATGCAGCCAGCAGCCTCGAGTTAAGCTGCATGCAAGGATCTATAGCCCTTCAAGCCTGTCATGTGTCCCATGTAGATTAGGCAGATGTGTAATGAAGGCCGGAATTAGTGGGCACATGAATATATACAATTGATTTGAGAAGAGTCAATATGGCTTCAGTAAAAGGAGATCCTGCCTCACAAACCTCCTGGAGTCATTTAAGATTACAAATTTGCAGATAAGAATGATCTAAGGGATCTAGTCTACATGAATTTCCAAAAGGTTTTGACCAAGTAACCATGTCATAAGAGGGAAGGTTCTGACATGGGTGGAAGTAAATGCCTAATCCTCTTAACAGCAGGAGGCAACAACTAGAATTCCACAAAGTGTCTGTGCTCTGAGCTGTGAGTGTAACTCAATGTTTGATAAATGACCTAAAAGAGGAGCTGAACAACGTTGTGACAAAGCTTCCTGATAGTAGGAAATTATTCAAGGCAGTGAGGATGAAGGCTAACTGTGAATAAATGCAGACAAACATTACAATACTGAGTGAGCAAGAAAATGGCACATGAAATTCACTGTAGATAAATGTAAACTGGCAGGTTCAATGTAAATGTAACAGGTTAAAAGTAAACTGACAGAAGTTAGAAAGGAGGCAGGTTGAAAACAAAAATGGTGTTTTTCACAGAACTGGTTAGACCTGTAGAACACTTGCCAAAGACTTACAGAGGCATGAAGTTTCTATGAGTCCAAGAGGAAACTGGAAAACCACAAGAGTCTCAGAAAAAACCCTGAGCTGCTGCAAATGGTTAAGAGCTAACAGAGCATTACAGAAAAGCATTATATATGTTTTGCCTGTTCTTACTGTTTCCTCAGTGAATGCTTGTGGCCAGTGTTGGAGACACAACATTGTATTAGATGGCTCCTTGGTATAAACCAGTTCAGCCATTTATATGTTCTTAATTTATCATCCGTCTTGAAAGGTGAAGATCTATTCTTTTGTGGAGGAAATCTACAAGCAAAATAGTGGTGTAAACTCATTCTTTTCCTATCCTGATGATAACAGAAGCGTAGGGGAGGGAGGACTATAGCATGAACTTGAAGCACTGCTAGACCTTTTCTCACCCGAGCACCCCTTGACAACTGGGAAAGATAGCATCCCAAGATGTTCCTTTAACTCACTGTCGCAGGTAGACATTTAGAAGTTTTCCAAAACGGCTTGAGTTGTCATTGAGGATGGTTCTGGCATTCCCAAAACTCTCCAGGATGGGTAGGACGTTGCAGGGCTTGAAGAAAAGACAGAGAGAACACTTCAGTAGCAATCACAGTTTTTTAAACCCAAAAGGAACTCAAGTAACCATTAGCTTGAAAATCCAAGAAAAATTGTACTTCACTGAAATAATTCTTGCCTGGCTAAAGAGTCTCTTTTTAAATTTATCTTGGTATCATTACCTCTAGCCATTGGTGAGTTGCTCTATGAGCTCTTTACTTTCACTGCTATGATCTTTCACTTTACTTCTGCTCTGTGTTTGCTAAGATTCACCTCCCAGACACCGCTATAAGGTCTCTAATGCAGGTATCGTCTCTCTGTTCAAACAGATACAGCACTCTACTCAGCACCAGTGCTCCTAGATACTAAAATACAGAACAACAAATACTTCAGCTGTCCTCGTGTCTTTACCGGAGCTTCACCTTGAACCACAAGCCATCCAAAGTCCAGCTCAGTTAAACAGAAACAAAGAAATAACATAAACAGTATGGCCTCTTTACCCTGTCTTTGGCTTCTACTCCTTGCCTAACTATCGCAGCATAAAGCCAATCTCAGTTGCCTCTCACCTGTCTGATCCTGTGGCTGTCTGATCTCTGGTACAGCATGGTTAGGTACTGCACAATTGCTTTGGCTGCTTCTGTTTTACCCGATCCACTGTGTCCACTGGAGGAACAAGAGGTAAGGAAGCTGGCATCAAAACAGAATTACTTAATTTAGACATATCAGAGGACCTGTTACAGTAAATCAGTGGAGTCGTACTGATTTACAACTAATGAAGACCTATCACATTGTTTGAAACGGTGAGACAGCTTGACAAAATAGGCCCAAGTAAGATTCCACTGTGGAATGCCAAACACTTTCTCTTCCACTCCTCTAAACTGATGTGAAGATAAATTCAGGTGTATTTGCACAGAGTGAAATAAGAACCCATCTTATTCATGTTCTCTACTGACAGCCTTCACACAAGAGGCAGAATGATAAACTTATGGACAGTGAAATACAAAGGTGAAAGTCTTACATAAAGCAATTAACAAGCCTTCCAAAAAGTACCCTTATTTCCTACCTGATGATGACACACTGCTCTTGCTCTGATGACTGAGATAGCGTGTAGGCCATTTCTGCTATGGCAAAGATGTGTCTAGATGTACAGAAGAAAAACCCAGTTAACTGACCTCACATTTCTACCCCACAAATACAGCAACAAAAGGTTACTCATCAGTGATCTACATTAGAGATAGGCCAGTATCGTGATCTGAGAAATGTGAGGAACCAGGAAAATCAGAGTTTTGTTCTTTGCTGACATCAGGTTAATACAAGCTATTGCAAAGTTCAGATTCCTCCAGGACCTCTTCAACCTAACCTGAGTAATGCTCTGTGCCATGGTGTTTCATATAAGGGACACCAGCAGTATTATCTGCACTGGAGGAACCTGCCTACGTTGCTAGCTCTGGTAGGGCTGTACCAGTGTTAGCAGTGGGGAGCGCATACTGCCAGAACCACTCAGGTACAGTCCTAGCAGGCATTGAATTCAGAACCTTCAAGCAATACTGAAGAAATTGGACCTAAAGAGCTTAGCTCTGTAGCATTACAAGTTCAAGCGATTACAATTTTGTCAAATGGATTGTTCACTTTCTGCAGCATTCATCCTGCTCTGTCAGACAACTGGAGGAAAATAAAATACTTTCTGGAGCACAAATGGAGCAGAATTTAGGGAGTTATCTGAGAAAGAGAAACATACGGGGCATTTTTTGAGAGAGTCCCTTGGTGGTACTGGGTAGCCACATCTTCAGAATAGATACTGAGGTCTTTGAAAGGATTCACAGAAACCAAAATTTGCCCAATATAAGTCTAGAACAAAAACAAGAAAGGGAAAAAAATCGGATGGCTTCTTAGAATTTTCTGAATGAGGAATGCTACTGAACACATATATTAATACAAAGATTAAAATAACCTTTTAAGGAATACTGTCTATTCTGACTCTAGCTGACTGTCTAAACTGTCAGCTTATTCAGAGCATGGCACAATTTTTCAGTGGTCATTTTCAGAGTTCTATCACTAATATTTTGGGATAAGTGGGCACTCACTGGTATGTGGTCATCTTCATTGGTCATTGTCTATTCTCCAAGCTTCACATGAAATTACAGGCACAGGTTTGAACACCTGAGCCAGTAAATGAAAAAGAGAACAATTAGCCATTCAGAAGTAGCTCTGGACTGCAACACTGAAATGTTTGCAGAAACTCTGGAGTTTTTTTCTAGAGGTCCACAATTTTTACTCAGAACTGCTTTGCTAAGACAGGAGAGTTCCAGTAGGAGCAGCTGAGGCTAAAACTGAACCCAAGTATACTCATGGGTTGGCAACAAATACCAACATTAAAGAGAAGCTGTGGGACTTTCAAATTTTACCACAAATATTTCATGCTACCCGTTTTCTGAGCAAAAGCAGTGTGAGTATCCCTGTTATCATTGTTCTCAGTAATGAGTGAGCTCTTGAGCTACTTGGTGCATTATCAAAGCTTGATGGAATGATAGAAATTATGTTCTCTTAAAGCTCATTGCTCAGAATGAATAAGCACTGAAAAAAAAAAAAAAACAAAACCAGAAAACCCCAAACAGCACTACCCATACATAAATAAGATTGCGATGGAACCTCTTCTTCAGACACAGCAGAACTGAGCTTTCACAGACTTCCCTACAAACAGAGGAAAGGACTTGTCAGCCAGAAGCTTCACTTGCATGTGTTAATATTAACCTTTCTGCCCTCCCAAGGATTTTGTAGGAGACTGGGATCCGAAACTATTCACTGCCTTCACGTGGTTCCAACATGTCCAGGATTAAACACATCAGAGAATAGAGCAGCCAAAGCTCAGAACATCCAACCTGTCCATCTCCGTGTGATCACACCTCCTTGCACACAGCCTTTACAGCTGTTTATCTCAACAGGATGGCAAGGGTAGAAGGTGCAGGACATGTGTGAGAAGCACTGTTAGGTGCTTTTCTTTCAACAAGAGCAGCGAACACATGATTTAAAAGCCATTAAAGAGGTAGGACCTGAATTTGCCATAGCTGAAAGCAACAAGAGTCACAAGCCTGCCATAGCTGAAAGCAACAAGAGTCACTAACGCCACAGATGCAAGTGTCAGTAGGCAAATAACATAGAAATGTGCCTCTCATCCTGCAAGTCTTCCTGACTTACCACCCACTTCATGCAACAAGAATGGTATGTCAAATTTCCAGTTCTGTCCCTCTAACACCACAAAAGTCACATCACCTACAAAGTATACTTGTTTTTTGTTAGAACCCATTTTAGAACTGGGAAGCGTTTAACAGGAGAGAGGCAAAGTTCCCTGGATGCATCTGTAAGAAAGTCTGCTAAGATGAGCTGCTCTCTCTGGTGTGCAACTGCAGAGATTCAGTGTGCACTCTCTGTGCAGCAGAGCTTTGGGACATACTATAGACAACCATCAGGAGTTCCCTCTGCAGCTGTGCTCCTCCCCACGTGGTTCAGAAGCTCCATAACTTAAGCAGTGCAATTCAGTCTTTTACTTAGCTTTACTGCAGAGCATCAGTTACGCAGCTCTGATATGCATCAAATTAATTCTATTTTCTCACTTGGTAGCCAAGGATGTATAACATGCTTTCTGTTGTTGAGCCAACAGTAGCTTTGAAGGTTAACAAGCAAGCCCTTGTGACCTTGAATTAGCTGCAGAATACCACTGACAACACATACTCCAGCCTGGTTAGATCTTCAATCTCCTCAGCTTCTCCACAGTGGTCTTCACACATGTACACCTGAAATGCATAGATACATTACTGAAAATCACAAGTTCAGGTTTATTCCAATACTGGAGACAACACCTGTACCTTGTTCTGCATGAATTCCATCTCTAGCATATTGTCAGTGATGTCTTCTGCCTCCCACTGATCCTTGCAGACTTTCATCACATGGCTGTTGGCCAGATGTGGGTCCTTGTAGATGGCCCATTTGCTTAGATTCTCAATGGTTAATCGTGGCAGTAGCAATTCAGAGTTCAGCCATGCTGCAGGATCACATCCCTCAGCCTGCTGCTGAGACCAGTGAACACAAGGTGTGCCGATGGGCCCTGCAGTCTGGAGGACACCTGAACCCTCTTTGATATCTACCTCACTGGAATAATCTGGTGTATGTATTGGATCCTCTTCTCGATGTGGAAGGAAGCCCTGTTCACTGTTTCTGTGCGGGCCTTCATCCATCAAAGATCTGGGAAGGTCACATTTGAATCTGCAACCCTGTTGCACAGGCATTACAGATTCTCTGTCCAATAGAGATCTCAGTTTCTCTAGGGAATAACCATTCCCAGAGTCCCTGGCTAAGGAGCTATTTGTCTTAATCATACTGTGGACTCTGGGGAATACTATAGCAAACTTGGCATCAGAAGCATTGTTCTTCTCCTCATCCAAGCTAAGTAAGTATGAAAAGGAACTGCTTCCATTAAGTGGGGAATCACCAGAAGGCAAATCAATGTGTCCCACTTCCTCTGCCTTTTTAGGACCACCTTTACCCTCCACTAATGGAGGAGAAGATTCTTTGTCACTCAATTCAGCCCTCCCCGGCTGTCCAGCTGTACCAGAGAAGGCTGTGCCAGACCGACCAACCCACCCAGCAGTGCTTACAATCCTGATTGCCACCCTACTTCTGAATCCAAAAGGTTTGCTGTTCCTCTTCCTCTTCCCAAATTTCTTTAGGAGCCATCTTGAAATACCAATTGCACGTGCCACACTCAGCAGACGAGATTTCAGGCTTGCTTTCTTGGCAGGTTTTTGACCAAGCCAGCCAGTGACTTTTCTAAAAGTAGAATGGGTGTGCAAGTACTTGGAGCCTTTCCCATCATGCACATTTTCTTCCTCAGAAGGTGCCTCTGCAACCACTACTTCTGCTTTCTCTTGTTTTGCCTCTGAAGTCTGGCCTGAACTCAGTTTAACATTTCCAATAACTTTTCCAACTTTCTTCTTCCTGCCAAGGAGCTGTTTATCAGACGATTTTTTTGTAATAGTGGAGCAGCTTGAAATATTTGAAAGATTTAATCTTTTCTCCCCAAAACTCTGAGCTATGTCGGGTTCTTTCTGTGTACTGAGGGTTTCTGGAGTCGTGGGTTTTGAACAGATGCTTTCAACATTTTTCAGGTCAGAGCTGGTTTCCAAAGGCATCTGGACAGGATTTGGTTTACAGCTTGTTAATAGTTTGGTTTCAGCATTTTTGTGTTTGTTTTTCAGATTGAGAAGTATTTGGGATTGAGAAGAGCATTTCTTTGTAAGCATCAACACTGCTAACTCCTGCTTCCTACAGTCTGAAGAACTCTCCCTCTGTATGTGTCCTACCACTTTATCTTGTTCTGCAGTCTCACACCTCCCAGATTCCTCTTTCAATGTCATCTGCTGCTTGGAGAGCAAAGGGCTATCTTCCAGTGTGTTGCCTTCATCATACATGCTCTCTTTCTGGTCAGTTCCTTGAAGTGCTTTGCTAAGGTGAACAGGGAGTTTTGCTTTCACAACACTAGGCGACGGTTGTTTTGTTCCATTTTCTTTTCCTTTGTCAATGCTCTCTTCAGTGCAGTTCTCTCCATTTCTGTCAGAATTATCATGTGCATCTTTTGACATAGTTTGAATTTGGTCTTTTTCTATTATATTTTCCTTGCCTGCTTCATCATTGCCATTTTCTCTGTTCTTAAGACTATTAAGTTGGAATCCTGAAATGCTTACATCATCGTCTTCCTCACTGCTCTCAGCTAGAATAGATTTTGGCCGTCTTGGCATGTCTTCTTGCTTCTTCATTTTCTCCTCTGCCTCCAATCCTGCAAAGTCAGTGCCTTCATCCTCAGATTCATTCCTTCCATCTGTGGTCGCCTGTTCCCTTTCAGTTTCATTAGATGCTTCATTGCTTTCATCAAGCAGTTCTTTGTAGCCTTTTCCTTCAGCCACAGGAGGATCTTCAAGCATGGCTTCTTTCTCTCTGATGCCATCTTCCTCTGAAGAACTACTTTTCCCTTCACTGCTTGCAGTGCTGTCCACTACAGTCTCTTTTGTACCTTTTTTATAGGTCAAATGGCCTTCACTGCTGGAGTCAGAGGAGGAGCTATCTGAGGCTTCCAGGATATTTTCTTCCGCGCTTTCAGTGACAATAATCCTGGTATGTTTTCCAACTTGCTTCTTCTCAGTTCTATCACCTTTTCCCTGTGCCGTACTGCTTTGGGACTGAAAACCTGACTTCTGCTCACAAGCTTCCTTAAAGCCATGATTCTTATTGTGCTTTTCCCTACGCCTGGCATTGTGCGTCTTCTGTGGCGAGTCATGTTTCTGAAGAGAGCCTTCAACACTTTGCACTGCAATTGACTTTACAGACTCTGACTCGGTGACTTTTTCACTAACAGCAGGACGCTTTCCACACTTCTTTTTAAAACTGTGTTTCTTGCTGTTTGTGGTGGCCTTTTCTTCCTTATCGCTACTGTCCTCACTTTCTCGTCCTGATGTAATTTCCTGTTGCTTGCAGGCCTTTCCTTTTTTCCCCTCCAACTTGGACGCTAATTGTTCTCCATGTCTTCTCCCCAAGCCAGATTCTCTTTTATCATTTCTCTTGTAGGCTCTTTTCCCCCGGAATAACTTTTTGTGGCTATTTTCTTTGCTTCCCTGAAGCCTCACCAGCCTCTGGCTTTTTAAGGGGTCCTCTTCAAGGGCGTTATCTTGTTCAGGCAATGACTCTTTGCCTTTCACCTGGCCTTTACTATTACTTTCCCACCGTCTACCACAGTGGATCTTTGAATCTCCCTGGGAGCTTGCCTTCTTCTCACAATTCAATACTTTCTCTTTTCCAACCTTTTTGTGCCGAGTCTTAGATCGGGAAGGAGGCATTTCTCCAGTGTTCAGCAGTATGTGATGGCTTATCTCAATTCATCTGTGAAAGGAAACATTGCACGTTTTGCTGTGAAATAAGCTACAAAGAAAGGTTAGATCCTCCTAAGTGGTAATTTACCTCATTTCTATAGAACCAAACAAACATTTGCAGAACCATACTTGTGCAGGTGAGGAGTGTCAAACTGACTGTCCTGTTCCAGGTTAATCTCTGTTTTATTTTGCCA